GCCATGAAACTTCCCCGCTTGGCATTAATGAACCTGTTATGGTTTTTGCGCTTGACCCCGCTTTTTAGCAAGTGGGCAGGAGTTGCGTTTTGCTGATGATTCGTCGCTGGCTTCTCAAAGAAATGGCAGGGGTGGGCGATTCCGCAACCTATGGCCAAGTGGGACCTGCTGTTGGGCGTCGACGATAGTGGCGGGTGGCGAGGAGTTGGCAACTGTGGCGTGCTCGACTCTATTAGTGGCTGACTATCATGCAGCTCCTCGTCTTCATCAGCATCGTGCTCAACCAATACAACCTCTTCATAACGCAGCCCTTCGGCATCCACGCCATCGTCCAAATCATAACTTCTCTGCTGCTGCTGCCGCTGATGTTGCTCGCGCGTTGAGGATAACCACTCCGTAGCCGAGCTCGGGAGCATCTCTGAGACCCATGTCTGTATTTTATTTACAACCGACTTTAAGTAACTGTTGCTGCCATCTGGAATCTCATGGGATGCTACTCTTGTTGGTGTTTGTGGCTCTTGGGCCTGACCATCGAACATTACTAAATATGAGCGGTGCTCTTGACTCACACTTGATTGCTTGCTTAGGCCACGACTTGTGATAATGCGTCATCTACAGAAGCCACTCCTTCACAGCCAGCTCTAATTTTTCGCTGTGTAGATAAGGAGTAGCAGTAGCATCAGAAATTTGTAATCTGCTCCACGACTTTGTGTTCAATAACTATTATTTCCTCGACACTTACGTATTCTTATGAACCTCGACTTGAAACAAATTACTTTTTCTATATTAAAAAAAATTACTTAAGCTTTTTACAAAAAGATTGCCATGCAGTCTAGAAATGTGTATGAAAAGCTTCGGCTTACTGTGTTCCAAAGTTTGTTTGATTGATAAAGAAATAGTTTAGTTTCAGCACGAAGAAAAGGAAAAATAGTACGATTTATAAAAAGATTAGAACATAATGATTGCCTAGCAGTCTAGGAATGTGAATGAAATCTTCGGCTTACTGTGTTCCAAAGTTTGTTTGATTGATAAAGAAATAGTTTAATTTCCACACCAACAAAAAGGAAAAATTTGCGATTCATCTCGAACACTCTTGCTTTCTTACCCATATGGTAGAATTCCTCCAATCTTGTCATTTGCCTGATTGATTTTATTAAAGCTGATAATAAAACTTACAGCGCTCTGAACTGCTTCCCTTTTTAGTCCTTACTTCTCGCACAGCGAAGAATTTCTCAAACCCATATAGCAGATTACGAAAATTGAAAAATTTATTAGCTTGCGCAAAAGCGACAAACCAACAAAAATTACGCAACTCGCATTCGAAATTCTCTTTCAAGCGACATCCAATGTTTTTGCCAGGCAGGACTTGGCAAGTTCAGAGACTCAGCCGCGCATGAAAATCACGACGACCACATGCAACTGCCACGGCTAAAATAAAAAGCCAAACGTCAAGTTTAGCGGCGAAAAGCGCCACCAAAAAAAAAGTGAAAAGAATTAAAAGCGACAGCAGCGGCGACGATGTGGCCACGACAGTCAGACAAACAGAGGACGGCGTGGACCATTCCAGGAACACAACTCGATTAGCATTTGGCAGAGCCAGAGATTTGTCTGCAACTGTGTGGGGTTTTGTGTGTGTGTGTGTGTCGAGTTAGGCCGCACTAAGAATTATTAAATTTTGGACACATTTGCATTTGGCTCGCGATGAGGGCCGCCAACAGTCAATTGTGGCTAAGCGCAGGCAGAGCCACTTAGTAGTCTGAGAAAGCCCCCGGGGGCACACAAATGGTCATTGCATTGAAGCTAACGCTAAATGGCTTAACGTGAAAATTCTCCAAATAGAAATTGAATTTTGGATTTTACGTTTTTAGAAAGTCAAGAAAAATTCAACTTTTTTTATTATTTATATTATTTCAACATTAAAAGACGAAGTAAGTTTCTGGATAATCGGTAGAAGCGTCTCTGGCCTTAGCAACGCTAAACCGTAAGTTTCCATTCTTTTTGTAGGTTGTGGGGTAACTTTTCAAGCTACTTGAAACATTCTTTCGTGAGATGCCGGGGGCAAACAATTCTAACCTTTTAAACAAATAGTCTTGGAAGATTTTTCTGCTAACGATCGAAATGGTAGTTTTTCTTTCCATTTTCGTTAATAACATATTTACTTGCATTTAAGAAAAATTTCAAATTATGCATCGATTTCAATTTTTGTATTTTTTTAAATACAAGAACTTGATAAATCAGATTCGTTTTATGCCAACATTTTGTTCCAATTAATTAATTATTTAAAAATTATTTTTATACGTCTGAGTTCAACGAAAGCAAATTTTCGACTACTGTCATGTCCTTTCCTGCAAAGAAGCATTTACCACACTAAAAGTAATGATTCTAACAGTGCTGAGCTGAAATTCCTAAAGGACCTTATGAAACGCACCTTAGAAGCAACTATTAGTTCAGTTACTATGAACCTTTTCAAATTATTATAAAGCTCCATAACACTCATGCGCGCTATCTTGAATTCCATCATTGAATGATTGAAGTACCAGAAATCTTGCTAATTTTCTTATTATAATAAATTATTAAAAATTAAAACATTAATTTTAAATTAAAATACGACGACTCCAGATCCCAACTCGCAGTAAAAGAGTACAAAATATTACCAAAAACATTCTATAAATCGTTTACATTTTGAGTTATAAGCTTGTTTCCCGATTAATTAATTAAACTATGATTGAACTAAAGCTTTGATTTAATAAGTGTGGAGTAATTTTATAAAATTTAATTTGCATATACTGTCGAGAAGCGAGAGTTGAGCCCCAAAACAAGTTTTCAAAAAATTGAAATTTATTTATGTGTTTAATTTTATTAATGGATTATGCATATGAGCAGCCAGGCATATAATTATCTGTATCAGTTTTTATGTCATTCACGCGATAGCTTTTTGTTGTTTTTTATTCTGTGCTGTGTTTGTTTCTAAAATGTTGGTACACTTATCAATTAAAATTTTAAATTGCATTAAATTTGTTTGGGGTGTATGGTGTTGGAGGCGCCTTGACATGCCGGCTATGATGATGGGCTGTTGTTGTTGTTGTTGGTATGCGACCCAAGCGTTATATTTCATTCAATTAAGCGTTTAAGTGCCCAGTAGCCGGGCGTGGACCTAGACAACATGACAACATCGCCCAACCCGGAGCACTAGTTTCCATGATACAGACACAAACACACACACACACACACAGACATACTCGTATAGTGATACACAAAATATTTAGGTTTATTAATAATAATGCAATTACGCATAAAAATGTTTTAATTTATTTCAATTAAGCGTTAATTAAGACTGTTTGTTGTTTACTGTTTGTGTCATGCCCATGAAATATTGTATGCTAGCATGAGAGCGGGACATGCAAAGCAGCACATCAACGGAATGGGCTTTAAAAAAAAATACTCTACAGTTTAAATTTTTATTTACAATTAAAAGCACAGGCAATAATCTTAAGCCTTTTGGTCATATTTGTTGGGCTTCTTTGAAAATGTGCGTTTGAAATGTTTACTATATTTTTAGGGCCGAAACCCTATTAGGATTAGGGTTAGGAGTTCCAGCTACCTATACATAAAATGCCAATAAATTTATATATTTGGGATTGCAACAAAAACAAAGTTATATATTAAACGATATTCTAACAACGGTTGTTGGGTTTCTCAGAGTATTTGCTCTACAAATTTAATTTTTAATTTATTTAAATTATTTCAAAAAGGAATATTTTATGACTAACGCTTAGATATAGTCCGACATTAGACATAAAATATATGTATTCTAAGAAAGACTGGGCAAATGACTAGGTTTATGTTTCTCCGACAAATTTGATTTTAAAAAGTAATACGAAACAACTTTTTCAACTACCTATGCAAAAAGAGCAGCTTGTAACCATTTTTTGGATTAGAAATGGACTTAAGCATATAAAATGATTATCTTTTGTCTCCGTAAGGAAGTTTGATTTTAAAGCCTAAATACGCCAGCTGGGGAGTACTAAAATTTAAATGAGAAAATATGTTCGTTTTGGCTAATTCGTCTGATTATTAAAGATGCTTGGCTGCCTGATTATTTTTTGAACACTGAACCGTCATTGTTTTGGTATTTCATTTCTTAATCGATTTCTAATGCTGAATATTAAAAGTATATAGATACAATATATTTTTTCAACGTCCAATGATAAAAGAATGATTAATACCTTCTATTGGAAATCAATGTCAGCTATTTCTAATGAAATTATTTTAAATACTTGTAGAGAGAAATAGTAGAACTGATAACATAAATAAAAACGCAATTGCACGGTTGGCATTAAATTTAATTAATTTAAAAATAAATTAATTTAAAATTGTAATTATAATTGTTATGTAATGATTTCTATAGATTTTGTTCCTAGTGTTCAGAGCGTACATTATGGGAAGTAGAACATAGAAAGACTCTTCAAAGCCCAATTAAATTCAGCTAAATTAATAATAATAATTGTTATATTTCAATACAATAAGTTTTCATACTAAAATTAAAAAACTGGCGAAGAGATCAATTTAAAGTATTGACCGATTTAAATTATGATATAATAATATATATATTATGAACTCTAAAAAATTTGTTGGTAAAACCAAATACAACTGTTTATATAAGACTTTTATTAGCATTTTAAGCTCTGCATTAAAGCCAAGGTGCAGCTTAGTCTTAGTTCGATATCTGGCTTTAGTTAGACAAATACGCTTCTCCCGACTCTCTAACTAAGTTATGAAATAGATCAAAGTTCGAACTTACAGCTATTAGTTAGCTATGTTGAACAGCAGAAATGAAACCTATTGCCGGTTCTTAAAATTGAATTCCATTCAACAACAGCGGCTCACTAATCTTTCCGAGTTGTTAAAGCATTATGTTCCCATTACAGAATTATACATTTCAACTTCTGATTCCCTTCTCTCTTCCCCCTCTCTCTCGCTCTTTTTCTTTCTTATTGCAGCAACTGTGGCTTTAGACCGGTGCTCAGCGAACAGAGTGCTGTGGCAGCGGCGGCTGCGGCTGCCGCCCAACGTAATGCAAATCATCCACCATTGTTTCTGCCACCACACTTGGCCGCACAGTTTACACATCAGCCGCTGTTCCCCGGCCTTAAAGGTAAGTGGATGGGTGGGTGGTGGTGGTGGGAGTGGGAGTGGGAGAATGACATCGATGAGCTGTCAATCCGCGCAGCGTAATCATCAAAAGAAAAATCAAAAGCACCTTTTAATAAAATTAGTTTAGGCAGCTGGGACTTGCCTCTTGATGTATGAATCCATCATAAAATGTTAATCTCTACATTTCTCCATCTTCTCCTCCCTTGCTCTCTCTCTCTCTCTCTCTCTCTCTCTGGCTATGCAGGTGTGTCGCCTTTCCAGAGCCTGTGCTCGTGCTGTTCGCTGAAGCCGCCGCCACCGCCCGTGGCGCCACTCAGTGTGCCTGTGAGCAGCTCCTCGGCAGCCAGCTCGCCGGAATCGCCCAAATCGAGCAACGGCGGCCACGATCCGCGCTCCAACTCGGTGGCTGAGCTGAGACGCAAGGCGCAGGAACATTCTGCTGCTCTGCTACAATCGCTGCATGCGGCAGCTGCTGCCGGTTTGGCTTTTCCCGGCCTGCACTTGCCCCCACTCTCGTTTGCCCATCATCCTGCTCTGGGACATGGCGGCAGCAGCAACAACAACAACAGTGCTTTGCGCATGAAACACGAAGCCCAGGACATGACCGCCAGCACAATGAATGGTCTCGGAGCTGGCTCTGTGATGGCCGTGCCTACATCGTCGAGCACATCGGCTGCTCTCCTGGATCTGGCCGAATCGGCCGTGGCATATCAGCACCATCACCAACAACAACAGCAGCAGCAGCAGCAGCATCAACAACAACAACAACAGCAGCAGCAACAACATGTGACTCTGTCGCCGCCAACAACGCCCACACATCGCCAGGAGACGCCACCGCCGTCATCGTCATCATCTTGCCACGGACTTGCCGCCAATGGGGGGGCTGTGATCACCAAAAGCGAGTAGACGAGCTAGCGAGGGACAATTTGTGCAATCGATGCATATATACATATATGAGACATAATCTTCTTACACTCTAAGCATTAGTTTTACATTTAGTTTAGCGAACGTATTCGTTTGCATCTTTGAGGGCAACACAACAATAAAGCACATTTACTTATAGTTAGCATTAGTTTCCGATCAGGCACACTCAAAGTTTCAGTCGCGCTCGCACAACAGTGGGATATATGTGTGTGTGTGTGTGGGTAAAAGTGTCCATAATTCATTGATATTCATTTGTAATTCAATACTTTTTAAATTCTTAATAAATTAATTTCCATTGAGTTGGAATTTCATTTATCAGATGAATATTTCATGATTCTATTCCAATAATTCTATGATTTTCAATATTATATATCTCGATTTTGGATATCAACACGATAGATTGTAGATTTTTTCTATATTTAAAAATTGATTACATTGCAATATTTTAACAAGGTTTTAATTTTTGAACAATTTTTATATATTGGAAATATTTCAAAAACGTATTTTCTTTAAAAGATCGATAACTACCACTGCCTTTTGATTTGAATTGATTAATTGATTATTTTGAATATCAAATAAAAACCTTTGAACACCAATTCATCACTCAACCCCTTGTCGATATATTGATTTTGCATATAATGTCTATAAATTTAAATATTCGATACATTATTGATATTTAGCTGTTATCGAATTAATTAACTTTAACATTCGATGCACTTTTTGATTTTGTCTCCCATATCAATGGTGAAAGATTTACTTGGTTTTCAATATCAACTCTTTCAAGAATCTAACAAAATAAATTTACTTTACGGAATTACTAAACCTTAATGAGATTCTCAAGTTCAACAAACCACTTGGCCAATACACACACACATTTCTGCTATCGAAGTGCGATTGAAATATTGCCGCCAGTTGTTTCACATGATTTAAAATATCAAATAAAGATTATATATTAATAAAAATACCTAAATAAACACAATATACATATATATATATAGCAAAGGCTTACAATGTAGATCGACTAGCCCAATACCAATAGAATGGCGAAAAGTTATTGCAAAATGTATCACACACACTAAAACAATATGTAAACAAACAATAAAGGCAAGTTCATTTAACATTAAAGGAATAAATAAACTAAACTTAAAATAATAATACGAATTTCATGTTAAACTATTTCACTTCAAAGTAAATGGTAAGTTTTCTTTTTAAAAAATAAATATAAATTCTGCTTCGATTTTAATTAAACATTGGCTTTTTGGAATCCAAACTGACTCTTTTTCTATTATGCTATGAAAGGGAAGTGTACAAGTATTTTTTTTAAGTTCATTCAAAAAATTTTTTTTATAGAACTCAGATGCTATAAAATTAGATGATGTATATAAAATTAGATGAGTATATCTGTACGCAGTACAAGTGTTCCCCTAAGCAGATCAAGCATATGGGATTTTTTTGATGGGTTTTTTTCTGATGGTTTGTTTTCAGATGCTAACAATATAGCAGTGTTGTTATCTAAGTTTAGTGCAAACTCTTGGCCTTTATCTACTCCTGTTCTATCTGAATACCTCATAAAGATAATATTTACGAATTACTATTCAAGCTGAGAAACAAATTTATTAAAATTTCTGTGTGACCTTAATAAGTGTCTAATTGGCATGGGAATTCGACTGAGAGATGTGCAAAAGCAATTCAATTTCATGATTCCACATGCACAGCCGACAATTATTACTTAATCCGGCTGAGCTTAGCAGTAAAATCCCCGAGCGTGTAAACAAATAACACAGCCGGTATACAATCAACAAAAATTTTGAACTTTGTCGCTTAGAACAGTTCTAGGAAAGCGCTTATCAATCCAAACTGTTTCAGTTTCAGAAGCGACTTTGCGCAATTTTTTTAAAATTGATAGCATAGTATTGAAAACCTCGGATAATTTGATTCAATTTTAAAGAGTTTACAAATTTACAAATATAAATCAAAACAACTTTATTTAACAGTAAGTGGTAATCAGTAACAGAGTTAGGTTTTAAAGTAGCCCAAGAACTGATATTTCTAACAGAAGAAACCCAGTATTTAACTGAGTCACACTTTATTCCTTGCAGGTCTTCTCACAGGCGGCCTTATCATTAAACAAATTGTTGTTGCCATGGCAGCCGCTGTAATTGAATTGAATGCACTCATTCGTATCCCGACGATAGGTCCACTTCTTCAGCAGGGCGCGACATTCGCCAATTCTGCCGAACTCCTCACCACAAACAGCTGATACATGTATTTAGAATTCCATCAGTATTCTTGTAAATCAAATATATATAGTATCTCAATCATCTACTTACGGCTCTTCAAAGCCACAGCGGCAGCAATGGTGGCAACAACCAACAACAACACAGCGAAGTATTTCATTTTGAATTTGAAAAATTAAAAATTTGATGCGCAAGTTCGACTCTGAGGTTATTTTACGGGCAACTCTGCCAATGCAACTGAACGTTCCGAACAAATGTGGCAAGCAATTTATAGGCACAAAACCGGCTCACGATCAGAGCGCTTATCATCGACCAGCTGGCGAGGGTCAGCAGAGTTTTCGATTTTAAGTGTTATGTACATATGCGAATATGAATACGACATAATCGTATATTTAGTTGAGCGCAGACAAAAGCGAAGCAAAAATGAAAACAAACCTTGAAATTATAGTGAAATTGTTGCTCTCTTTTTTTTTTGGTGCAAATTATATTCGGATGTGTGTACTTATGGGCACTTATATTGTATTACAATCAATATGTGTCATAATTTTGGCGGCTAGTGTAATATTTAAAAGTAGTCATACGCGCCGAATGGAAACATTCTTCAGCTACAGTCGAGCATGCTCGATAATGAAATACCCTGTACCCAAATAAACTGCCGGCGTTGAGTTATACGGCGCACCCATAGCAGAAGTAAACAGAAGATCGAAGAGAATTTGCCGATTTTAATATAATTTTCGTTGCTATCCAAACTATCTAGTGATTTAATGCCTCAAGGCTACATTACTGCGAGTGTGTGTCATGTTCTTGTCAGTCATATATACTTTTTTTATCAACCGTAGATTGTCCAAAATGTTCCTCCACAAAGGAACGAAAGGTACGAAAGGTAAAAAGCGAAATACAGAAAGAAGCATCTCCGACCCCATAAACTATTTACAGATATTCTTAATCAACATGAAGAGAGAAATCGATCTAGACATGTCGGTCTGCTAGTCTGTCTGAATGAACGCCTGGATTTCGGACACGCATTAACCAACAGTAACCATACTTCGTAGATATACTCTCTTCTTATCCATACGAGTTATTTTTATTTTTTTGAGCTTTCTACATCTTCAAGAAAAAACCCCAAACACAGACTGTGCTAAGATTGAGAGAGAGAATGAAAGTGCAATCTTTTCTTCTGTGACGCAAAGCTGCTGCTGTACCCGATTTTGAGAAAGATTCTTTCTTCCAAAACGTTAAATGCGATTTCTAAAAGTTCAGCTGCATTACAAAAATCCAAATTAATTCGGCAACTTAAAATCGGCAATATAAACATACTTGTATTAAAGAGTTCAATAAACTAGCATCTATAACGATCCCCACCACACCAAGCTGTTGATGTGGAAAAGAACAGAGCTCTACTTAAGCTCAATTTAAATTCCATTTCAGCTTACGCCTCTATTATTTAAAAAAATATAAACTGCATTTCTATACTTTTATTTGAGATTTTTGTAAAAGTTATAAGTTCTTACAATATTGCGTCTTTTAAGACTTTAGTCCTTACAAGATTGCTCGCATTCAATTTTGCTGCCAAACTGATTCTTATTGCCACCGCAGCCACCATAGATGAACTCAATACAGGCATTTTTGGATGAGTCGTAGGTCCAGGTAGGCATATAAGCCATGCAGGCAGCTCCATCCTGAGCCATACCAGCCATCGAGTGTTGCAGCCCGCACTCTTCTGCACATTTAAGATCGTTGCACATATAAGTGGGAATTTATTGAGCCTGGCTTACCAGACTTCGCCAATATGCAGCCCGGATTGAGCAAGAAGAGCTCTACAACTAACAAATAGTACTTCATGATCTATGCGAAAGATTCAACTGAAGTGTTTAAATGCGGCATGTTGAAGCTTTATAGGGCCCGTGTATATCTAGAAAATGCAAGAACTATAGCTTATCTGTCGCATATATATAAACTATATAAATGAGCGCTTGGCTGAACACTTAAGAGATTGCACCAATTATAAATAAAAGGCGCACTAGAGCATGTCGTATTTATGGGTTGGGTCCAGCTACACATAAAAAAATAGATAGAGCCTAGTAAACAAAATACGAATCGAAACAACAATCAATAACTCATCGATACTTATCGATATTATGCCATAATTTTGGAAAAACTTCTTGATCGAACTAGTTTAAATTAAGGAATTAAAATAATTCTGTATGAGTTAAGTCTTAAGATGCGATTTATATAAGATATCAGATTTAAAACGTCACTAGACCCTTTGATATACATTCTTTAACGAAGCTTAAAGACATTAACTAATTATTTAGTATTCAGAATAAAATAGTAATCGAATTATCTTCTCATTTGTAATAGAATTAGCTTTAGTTGAATAAAAAAGGGGAACAATAAATTATGCAATTGAATTTTAGCCACAACATCTGACTCTTAGAACCCATGCTCTAATTGTTATAATAAAAATAGTTATAGTCATCATAATATCCATAATTGCCGACCAGACAGTACTCCTCGCACATTTTGAGCGTGGGAAAACGATTCTTAGTGCCACCGCAGCCACGATATATAAACCGAATACAATAGTTCGCATTCCAATTAAAGGTCCAGGTGTGCCGAAGTTGACATTTTCGATTATTCAATTCAGTCGCTAAATATTTTAAATATATAGTATATTTTGTTCGACTTCTACATCTTTATATTCTATATACGTACCATTCGATTTTCGATCTTCTCTGCTTTTGCTACGACAGCAGTAGCCAGAAACTGCATAATTATCAAAACATTTGGGATCTACTGTATGGGTAGGATATTAAAAATTTTGCTTTTCCTTATCGAATAGTGCAATACAAACCGTCCTGCGCCAGACAGCCTAATGCATAAATCACCAAAAAAGCGACACGTAACTTCATATTTCCAAGTTTCACATTAGTGCAATACAAGTATTGCAATTAAGTTTTTATGTGAGAAAGCAAATAAATCTAGTTCCTTAATGCAAATAATTCATTATTCGTCACAGTATTTGCTCGAAACAGTGGCTGCAACTGAAGCAACACCACTTCTAAATATTTAAAATACAAACAACAAATGTGGGGCACAAGAATGACGCTCTTTCTTCTTATTAAACTATTGTCTATAGTCGCCATAAAACGAACTAATTCTGGTTGCTTCTCAGTCCATTTAAATGTTGACATCTTCGACTCCCCAATTCAGTGGGAAACATTTTTTTCAAATTCGTTAAATCCTTAAGTGCATAATCTTGCAAAAGCATTTAGGATCTAAAAATTGCCAAACTAACCGATTAATGCTTTCAAATATTTGTTCGAACACAGTTTATACGAACAATCCAAAAACAAGCTCCACAAAAAAGAAACAAACCAAAATTTTAATTCTAAACGTTTTTTAAATCAACTGCAATAAGCTACAAGTAAATGGAAATTCAGTTTTTATACAAGAAAGCGATTCAAATCTGATTTGATTGTGCAGCTAATTCGAGATTTTGCACAGTGTTGCCTCGAAATGATCTCCGAGTCTCAGAAACAGCGACAAGAACTGATAAGAGCCCTCTGCTGGCTCAGTTATAAAATACTCAATGAAGCAACAGCACGTCTACTTATTTAGTTTCAAAAAATGCAATATTTTTTAAAGCTATCTTTTATAATAGTTATCTATGGCGCGATCGTAACATTGTGCCAATCTAGCTGTATTCAAAGAAATAAGGTATGTGTGTAGAGCAGAGTTTCTGTTCAGTGTGGAATATTCATTTGCTATCAAATCAATTTCTTATCAAAGGCAATTTTCTAAATTTAGTTGAGCGGTTGCCCTTTTGACTTCATAAATGCAGAACTTTAAAGAAATTTAATAAATGTTTTTGAAAGCACTAAATACGTTTTTGAATAGCAGAATAAAACCAGGACGGATTAATAACTGACTAGTTTTGAATAAGCATTGATATAAAATAGTGATTGGATATGCCAGAACCACATGATTCCATATCTGTTTTGGTGTCAAGAAGTGGAACTTATATAGTAACGCTATCGAAAAGCATTCAATTAATCGATATAGCTTAAGATGTGACAAAAGATTAAAACTGCACACTTTTAAAACTAAATAAATAGATCACAGAAGATTAGCAAAACAGTTTCAGGAAATTCCGTATATGGAGTTTTGTAGCTCTCTCTCTCTCTCTCTCTCTCTCTCTCTCTCTCTCTCTCTCTCTCTGTCTCTCTCTCTATCTCTCTCTACAAATAATAAATCTTTCGTGCTTTCATCCTTTAAGCACAAACCATACCTACTATAACCATTTCAATACGCGATCAATAACTGCATTTGAAAGCTGTCACTAAAAAGCTTGCTTTATACAAAGATCCCAAGATAATTATGATGATGAATTATATTTACCGTTTCACCGTTCTATTAAATATACTATGTATTTATACTTACATATCTTGAATATTCTTTGCAGATTCGAAGCCTCAGACAAATCGAAAGTCATCATGAAAATACAACCACAAATATTTCAGATTGTAGGGAATACGAAAGTAGGTTACCGAACCAAGCTTTCTTGAATAATTTATATAAAAGTGAAACTTTAAAAGACACGATTGAGGCAAAAGAGCTTGAAATCTCTAAACTGAATGCAACAATCAGTAAATTAGAGTTTGAACGCCTGCAATCTATAAACGGATGCAAAGAATGCAACGAACTAGTAGTTCAGATTCAAATGCAAAAGGAAAAAATAGGACAGTTACAATTAGAAGTGGAAATGTTAAAATTTGAGCTGCTGAATTGGAAAACAAAGCTTTCTTTTAATGTTAATAAAGAAGACACATTTTTTGTACCAAACGACAAGCGCGTGGTCGGAGCACATTGGACCACCATTCAGCATAGGATTGATGGCACTGTTGATTTTAGACAAGACTGGAAAAGCTATCGAGATGGATTCGGAATTTTAGATGCTGATTTTTTCCTAGGTCTTGAGAACATCCACCAATGGACCATATCGCAGCCACATGAACTGCTAATTTTACTAAAGGACTGGAATAACATACAAAGACACGCCCACTACGATCACTTTTCAATTGGCAGCGAATTGCAGAAATACAAGTTGTTGACACTTGGGAATTACAGTGGAAATGCTGGCGATGCCTTGACACCAAACCTATATGCCAATTTTTCCACCTACGACCGGGATAATGATAATTTGTCAGCACTAAGATGCGACGAATGGCGTAGTTCGGGCTGGTGGTACCACACCTGCGTATCCGATAGGTAGGTCAGCAATTCAGTATAGAATCAGAGTAAAAAACTAATCAACTTTTGCAAATCCATTGTAGCAATCTAAATGGACACTACTGTGCAAGTCCATATTGTTCAAAACATTTGGGAAGAGGCATTGTATGGAACACCGCATGGCACAACTGGCAGTATTCTTTGAAGTCCGTGCAAATGCTAATTAGACAAATAAACCATTAAATAATTGTCGGAAAATGCTAAAAAAAAAGAAAGAATAAAATAATTTTATAAAAATTAGAAACCCAGTATATCTATACATTAAAAAGGCGTGCTATGAAACCTAAAGAGAGTGTGTAATTATTGCATTTGGAGCAGCTTTTTTCGAATCTTATATTTGAATCTGTACTAACTTTTTAATATCTGTAAGATATAGGTGTTACAATATTTTAGAATAACGAAAAATAAACATTAATTGGTTAATATTTTGAGTTACTCTGTGGGAGCGATCGTGAATGCCTTCTTCTGGGATAATATATCCAGAGATCAATGATATGGTCGGCTGATTCATAAATGTACAATTTTATTTCGATATTTGATTGCTTTTTAACATCGATCATTTTAATTGTCAAGGCTAAAAGTAAAGCTTTTTCACAGCTTCTTCAAATGTTCATCTTTAGAAAGTCGAAGAGAAATTAAACACGAATGACAAGAAACAAACTAAACACATATTAGTCTTTAAATCTAAGCATTAAAACATGCGACAGTTCTGATTTAGAAATTATTTCATTGTTTTGTTGCCAACAATAAAGTCGTCAAAAGGCAGTTTGTGAGTTTGAAAGAAAAGTTTCTGAAACTCTGTCATCAATTCAGAGACTTTTTTTTTATCAAAATTGGTTTTCAAATTGATCAAAAATTTGTATTTGTATTTGTAAAATGTATTCCGTAAAAGTTGAACTTTTTTCATAATTTCTGGATTTGAAACTACAAGTATATAGCATTACATAATATACTACTACAACAACTTTTATTTAGTTCTTGCACTTTGCTTCACACTGAGATTGACTTTCGAATCGATTGTCATTGCCGCCACAGCCTCCATAGATGAACTCCACGCACTGATTATCTGCCGCATTGTAGGTCCATTTAGGGATAAGTGCCATACACCTGGCCACACCATTACCATCCGCTGAATGTGGCTGTCCACAAATGGCTGCATGAAGAAATAATTGTCACAGAAATGTGAATATTTGGAGTGAGAAACACTTACGATCCTTGAGGCCCACAGCCAGGCCGAGCAGTGCAAGGAGCACGGAAATAAGCGCCAGGAATTTCATTTCACAAAACTTGAAGTACAAACTAAAATTTTAGATGCCAGCACAACGATTACTGAGTGCTAGACGTGTCGAGCTCCTCTTTATAGCTCAACTAAACAGAAAACTTGAAGATTATCAACGTTTGAACTTTGGGTTCATTGACGAGTGTTTGTCGAATACAAAATATATATACGAGTATATTTAAAATAAATACAAACACATACGTATATTTTTTTGTGCGAATGCAGTTCAAACAAACAAATGACAGCTGTTGTCTGCGAATTTCCGGCTCGTTTCTATTCAAACTGCCAATACAAGTAGAGACTGCTATCTAGTATATTTGTTTATGATCGACGTAGGCGTAGCCTTACTACTTTTTATACTCTGTACATGAAATGTACAAGAGTATATTAGGTTTGCGGGAGCTGAAAAATGTAACAGGCAGAAGGAGGCGTGGCAGACCCCACAAAGTATATATATTCTTGATCAGCATGACGAGACGAGTCGATCTAGCCCTGTCTGTCTGTCTGTCCGTCTGTCCGTCTGTCCGTCTGTCCGTCTGTCCGTCTGTCCGTCCGTATGAACACCTGGATCTCAGAGACTATAAGAGATAGAGACACCAAATTTTGCACGAAGATGCGTTATGTGTGTATTCTATACGAGTTTGTTTTATTTTTTTGATTTTCCCCCCCACTTCCCCCCTATGGGGGTTTTCCCGATTTTCCATTCGTATAATCGCCTATATCTCGGAGACTATAAGACCTAGGAACACCAAATTTTAGTCCCAGATGCCTTATGTGAATACGCAGAAAATGTATATTTTGGAATTCCCCTCCCTCCCCCCTCTACCCCGCAAATCGTAACTCCCGTAATTCTTGGAATTTCGAACTAAAATTTTGGAAATACCCCCAGTTAGTTATTATGTGTCCGTTTGCCAAATTTCATTATGATAGACCGATTTAACAAGAAGTTATAGCCATAAATATATTTGCTGATGCAGCGCTGCTGCAGCGCTGCTCAAGCGCTGCCCGCGGCTGTTGTTGATGTTGCTGTTTGGTTGACTGCGAAAATGCTTACACAGACACGAATAGATGCGCATAGGCATACATACACTCACACAGGCGCAATTTCTATGTAAATGTGCAATTATAAACCCTTTACGTGAGTTCGAATACCGAGAGAGGTAAAATCGATCAAATTTTTTTTTTATTTTCTTAATTTTTTTATTTTCTATAATTATTGTAAACATATGTACAGAGTATTTCAAAGTCGGGACACCCGACTTTAGCTTTTTTACTTGTTAGAATAGTGGCTAGTAAATCAAATCAAATCACAAAAATAATTTATTGTCACGTACATGAAATCAACGTATGAAATGTATTTAGAAAATGTCGTATTGCGAATTGTAGTTCATTCGCCGGCAATATACCTAGTTAGTGGTGCAATATTCAATAATTTATTTGTTCAATTACTTACCGTGGCGGAACATCGTGTCATTGCATTAAATCACTTATTAGCTAGTCTCAGTACCCTCGTATTGTAATTCGTTCCATCAGCTACGGAAATCTGTTCGAAGAAGCCATGAAATTTCTTGCTTTTAATAAGTGCTAAGACGTAGAGTATAATTTCACTTTGATTTTATTGCACAGCTATGTAGTTGCGATCTGGAAAACATGGAAGAGCATTTAAATAGTATTTGATAGAAAAAAAAGCGTATACTCTAACTTACTTAATCACTAACTGGATGTAATAACCAAATTTGAGTTCAAAATTCCAAAAATTACGGGAGTTATGGAAAAAACACGATTTGCGGGGGAGTGGGTTGAAAAAAAAAAAACTCAAACTCGTACTTTCTCGGACTTAGGAGAATCTGGATACCAAGTTCGGTACCAAGTTCGGTAATTCTAGCAGTTATACTTTCTGAAATCCTTGCGTTCATACAGACAGACGGACGGACGGACGGACAGACGGACATTGCTATATCGACTCGACTTGTCATCCTGTTCAATAATATATATACTTTGTGGGGAGAAGGAGGTGTCTCCCTGTTACTTACACTCGCACAAAACTAGTATACCCTTTCAGGGTACAAAAATGCATTGAATTAAAGGTGATTTGAGCATGGTAGGGGCACAAACGGTTATGTCGAGATCGAATTCTATGATAAGGAATATATAAACAACAGAAAACAATGTTTAAATATAACTGTAAATATTGCATGGAAAGTTTTGTTTGTTTATCATATCTTTACTATCGATTTTGTTGCTCTTTCAAACGGTATTCGCATTTTTTTTTTTTTTTGTCTCTATGCACCATAACTTATTTATATATATGGGGTCGCAGAGACCTTCTCCTCCCTCCCTTCTCCCAGTTGGTGCTGGCTTCAAGAGAAGGTGATCGATTTCTATTCCGTGTTTAAACTGAAAATTACGTTTTCCCGGAATTTTGAAATTGGAATATAGCTGACGAGCCCCAATAAAAATAAATAATAAATATTTACCTACTTATACAATTTCGTAAGCGTGAGTGCCACGAAATAATGTGAGGGCTCATGAAATATTTAACAACAAATAATTTACATACATTTTGAATAATTATTTGAGATAGTTGCTGATATAAGGCCGAGGGCTTTCCTAAATGGTCTCAGTACAATACGTTCTACCAATTGAGGAAAACAGTAGAAGGAAGCCATGAAATTTCTCGCAATAAGCATGCTGTTCGCCCTTCTTGGCGTTTCGTTGGCGCTCAAGGATCGTAAGTTCTACGAAGAGGAGGAGGAAGAGTCAGAGTCGAAGCAGGCAATATCTAATTTACTTATGTTTTATTTCCACAGCCATTTGTGATCTCCCCCATTCTGCGGATGGGTACGGAGATGTAGCATGTATGGCCTCTATGCCTCAATGGTCGTACAATGCGGAAGCCAACGAATGCATCTTCTTCATCTACGGAGGCTGTGGTGGCAATGAGAATCGTTTTTGGTCACAATACGACTGTGAGCAGAAATGCGTGGAATAAAACTCAGAACCAACGACAATATTTATGTTTATCAGTTGAAATGTGAAAATGCGTTTTATAGTCGTTAACTGATTTTGAGTTTCCATAAAAAACTGTTTAATACCAAATTAACTTGAGATATCTTTGAAAAACAGACAAGTACCAAGCTCAATCTTCCACTGTTTTGATTGATTTTTCAGCGACTTCGAGCCAAATTTTTACAAAAAAAAGGTTCGCCTCTGCTAGGTCTTATGGTAGCAAAAAAGTAGATGGAAAACGAATACGATCAAGCTTCAAAGGGAGGTGATCGATTTTACATTTGGTGCTTAAGCTATAAACTGAAAATGAAGTTTTCCAGCTCGGAAGTCAATTGCAAAAACTAATGAACATTTACATTTATATTTAATAGCCAATAATTTGCATAAATTTTGAATATTTATTTGTTATATTTACGTCGCCAATTGCTAATATAAAGCCTAGTGCCCTGCTATCTAGTCTTAGTCTAATTCGCTTTACCAAGTACGGAAAATCGCTCGAAGAAGTTATGAAGTTTCTCACTGCAATATGCGTGTTGTTCGCTCTTCTCGGTGTTTCGTTGGGCTTTAAGAATCGTAAGTGCTACGATGAAGATGAAGCCAAGACGGGCATTACTTATTTAACTTTGATTTCATTTTCACAGGCATTTGTTATCAGAGCCATTCTGCGGATGGAGACGGAATTGTAGGATGTTATGCCTCCATACCGCAGTGGACGTACAATTTTCTGGCCAATGAATGCATCTTCTTCATCTACGGAGGCTGCGGTGGCAATGAGAATCGTTTTTGGTCAAAATGGGAATGTGAACTGAAATGCAGAATCTAAGCACAAATATTGTTTATCAGTTGATATGTGAAAATGCATTTTATAGTCATTAATAGTTTCACTTTAATAATCTGTATTAGGAGAAAGGGATAGGGTAGGATGTGCTACGGGCCATAAAAGTTGTGAAGCAACCCCAAAATATTTGGATTTGGAAGAGCATTAAATTACTATTGGATTTTGGCAATCATACAAATGCAGAGAAAAATAGATGAATCTAGAATCACGTTTATATTCCCTGCAAGTCCTGGTGGCTATTTTTATTAAGACAAGGATCTCTGAAAATAGAGCAACTAAAATCATAGAACTTTGTGAAAGGGAAAGTGTATGTAGCGTTGAGTTTCAGACAGTTTCCTAGACTCGAGACATCGAAATGATGAGCTACTGTTGAGCTGTAAATTACCTTCAGATATTGGGTCATAAGCTGAGTCACCGAAATAAAAATGGATGTAATAATTATAGCAGTGTAACAATAAATTCTCCCGCCAAATCTGGATCACAATAATAATATTCGGTTAAGCAATCAGAAACAGTCAAGCTGCAATATTTTACTACATACTCGTACATACATACATATATAATATAGAAGCACAAATGTTGACACCGACGAGTATTGCTGCCAAGACCTGATGATAAGACAAACAAACAGTTTGTATAAAATCAGCGCACAGGCCTAGCGCCCGTTAGTCGGTTTTTGGTTTTAGGAGAGTTGTGAAGTAAAAATACGAGTTAAAAATGAAATTTTTGATATTATTAGTGGCAGTAGCGACGATATTCGCCAGTGCCTGTGCACTTAAAAATGGTGTGTATTCAAACACATATTTACTCAGCCCCTCTGGTTGTTGAAAAATGTCAATGATCCACAGAAATATGCGGCTTGGAACACTCCCTAAATGGTGACGGCCGGATTTCGTGTGAAGCCTATATTCCCAGCTGGTCCTATAATGCAGCTGCCAATGAGTGCGTCAGTTTCATATTCGGAGGATGTGGCGGCAATGCCAATCGTTTTGCATCACAAGATCAATGTGAAAGCAAATGCAAGGAATAGACTCGAAATGGCATAGAAAATAATTTTTAAAAAAAGTTTTGACGGCAATAAAAAGTGTACAAAAAATGAAAACAATGTGTATTTCTGCAATGAAAGCATATAGAAGGAGAAAAGACAAAGAAAAGAATATCAAAGGACTGGATTACTTGTGTTTAAAAAAATAACATCCACATTTAAAAAAAAATTTCACAAAAATTTCCATTGTAATTTCAATTCCAATTCACAGCTGGTTGGCTTCCAATCTGCTATATTCGTTCAACAGACTAATGCAATGTTTTTCAATACGAACCAATTTATCAACCGTATCGTTATTATTTCTCTGAATTGTCTGCGTAAAAAATAGCTTTCATTTCTACAAATTATAAAATAAATTTGTTACTAAATCTAGTAGTTCAATTAACTCATTTTACAACCAACCAACCAATTCCCATTTACATACGACACTTATTTGTTGTTTAATTTGGCAATTTTTTAAACCACTAGCGATATTAAATTTACAAAAGCAACAAAAGAGTTGTTAGATAATTATTTTGAAGAAAAACCATTTATGGAAAAACACTAAACTCTGTAACTCGTAAAATTCTTCATTAATGTTACTAATATCATGGCTATTTGTTTGTTTTTTCTAGTTTTATTTATTTAATATTTATTGTAACTTTTTTTAAATTTTTTTTACACCGACAGCTTTGTTTGTCGATTAATAAATAAATAACTAACTTAACTATGGTTTTAAAAAAATGCCAAAGTCCAGCCCAGCTGATTAATATCCTATATTCAATACTACTATAGTTTTGATGGAATGTATGTAACAATTAAAATGAGGCGTTACAAAGCATATTAATTCATAAGTACTGTATTAAATATGGAGTCCAAAAGGGTTACAAGAAACACAACACCCATGTTAACTGAGGTCTAGTAAAGTCATATTTGAAATGCCATACTTACTGTCTGAACTAATAATTTACGTTACTCTAGCATTGTTTAAATTTCTTCAAGTACAATTAACAACTTCAACACATTTATTGGCAGTTCAACAGATAAACAATATTACTGCTAGTCACATAATTTATTCCTTGCATTTCTCTTCACATTCCGCTTGCGAACCAAAACGATTGGCATTCCCACCACAGCCTCCATAGATGAAAGAGATGCATTCGTTGGCGGCCGAATTGTACGTCCATTTGGGCATATAGGCAGCACATCTAATTGCTCCTTGTCCATCCCCGGAATGCGGCTCACCGCAAATGGCTATGGAAACGAGGTCAAAATAAATTAAGAATTGCCAGCTTAGACTTTGAGACTCCTAGCACTTACGATCCTTCAGGCCCAACGCAACGCCGATAAGGGCGAACAGCAAACATATAGCAACGACAAATTTCATGGCTTCTTCGAACGATTGAGAGAATTATACTGAGACTATGTAGCACAGAGCTAGTCTTTATATCAGCAATTGGCGCCGTAAATATTATTACTGAGTGTGCACAAAGCTCATTAACAAATGCTTGTGAAATTAAAAAACAAACACAAACAAAATCATGTATATATATACTATACTTCCACTTCGAGTGGGATTTCCCAAATGCTCTAGAAAAAATTACTCAAAGGTAGATCATTTATTAAATAATATTTTAACTATTTATTAATTATGGATCTTTCATTGCTTTTAGCTAGTTTAATATTAGAAATAATACTTTAACGATTTATTATTTATGAATCTATCTTTGCTTTAAGCTAAATTAATATTAGATTTGCATTTGTAAACAAACATTTCTTGAAACAATTAAAAAAAAAACACATGTTTGCAGAAACAACTTCAAAAATATCCAGCAGTTTATAAATGTTCATACGTTCTGTACATTTTAAGTTACTCATACTATATGTATGCATGTATATGTTTGTAAGAGATAACAATTAACTTAACTTACGAGTATATTCTCCACAGACATAGTCACAATTGTTGTTAAATACTTATTTCGTTAGCTCTCCCATTACTTCGCAGCAATTACGCCCACAAAATCGAGTGAATATGTAAATGTTTATTATTTATTTTCATTGCCTTGTTTTTCCACTCACTTTTACTGAGAATTCTATTTATTTGTCCGCTATACTCGGGAATACCCTCGCGCTTTAGTTGTTGAAGTAAATATTTATGTTCAACAGCGCGCTGTCATAAATCTTATCGAAAAAAATTTTGTTTTTGGCAAAACCAAAATGAAAACGGACCGAAAATTATAAATAAATCTGGAAGCTGTATGATGTCAGCGGAAGTGGGAACTACTTTAGTTAGAAAACTTAATCGAAAGCTATTCATATCTTCTTTTTATACCCTGTACCCATAGGGTAAAAAGGGTATTTTAATTTTGTGTAAAATATTTTACAGGTAGAAGGAATACCACCTCCGACCACATAAAGCATATATACTCTTAACCCGCATGACGAGACGAATCGATATAGCCATGTCCAGCTGTCTGGATGAATGCCAGTCTATAAGCTCAAGGATCTGAGAAAGTATTTTTCACTTTGAACAAACCTTATTAACCTTATTAACCATTTACCTTATCTGACTGATAGATGCAGTTTTGACATGCCTTAATAGCTTAGCTTTACTGTTGTTTTATAGTATATCCCTCCAACTGTCTGGATTTTTCTATTTACTTGTAACATTTACATTTGTTTTAGCGAATGTTCTCGGGTATTTCTAAGAAAAATGTACTCTTGACATACTTACGTTAAAAAAATTTTTATTATCTTACATTTACTAGACCTTTCTTGATTTTGTTGACAATCCCCGGGGTATTTTCAAGAGAGATATCATATTGACCTACCTTAAAACAAACTATATTATCTTCAACCTACTATACCTATATATCTTTCCAACTATCTAGATTTTACTAATCACATGAATCTTGTTGTTTTCAACTTATAATCTAAGCACTGAACGAAAACTATAGTTGCACTTCAGAGTTGTACAATTGTAAAATTCTTAAATAAAAATATTATCTCCTAAACATTTTCCAAATTAATTCTCCAATTAATTTAAATAAATACTGATACTCGTGTACTGTTCTTTATCGTCAAATCTAGAAGACAGCTTAGCATTCCTAACACGTTTCCCATTATTTTAACGAATTACTGAAACAAAAAGTAGAACTCTAGTGTAAACATATTATTGAAATAGTCATACGGGACAGATTGCTTCCGCATTGCTGATGATTTATATGTCTCTAAAATTTAGGGTTTTTCTAACTAACTTTAAAAAGAGTAAAACAGATACAAAAAAGACAGATGTTTAAATAAATCAGTTTTAATATGAGCAGCGCTTCGGTCCCTTTTATTAGCGTTAAGTTTATTGGGTTCCTGTTCAAGGTATTCCCAACTATTATTATTTATTATTACAACTATTATTAATTATTTACAAATGCAGTAAAAACATTTATTATTTATACTGACAATGGCGAGCCTGATAAAGCTATAACGGATATATAAAAGGCAATCATAGATATGTATTGTAAATAAAATTAAAAGATGGATGTTGGGCTAGAAACCTCTATACTTATAAGAAGGCGATCGTAAAAAATAAAATAAAAATTAAGGAAGATTAGTGAAACTATTTTCTGATAGATAATTTAGCCTTAGTTCTTGTACATTAGACACGAATATTTAAATTTATTTGAAACTATTTAACGGATGAGCTAACGGCCTATAGGCTAAGAGGTGGAAATACATATGTTAGATGCAGATGGGATTATTCTATAAAGCATTAACTGCTATATTGCATTAAAGTCATAGAATAAATTGATTCGTGAAAGTATTTTTTTTAATTTTCGGCTTTTTAAACTTATTATTCAAAAAAGTAACGTAATACTAACATCGGTTTTATTGCATAAACATAATAAACAGACACATATGAGTTAAGAATTATAAAATGCTGTATAACTAATTCAAAAATTTGTGCTCTTATGTAGCGAGCGGCGTGCTTGTGTCCTCCTTCGCTGGCAGCTTCTCGGTAGTCGGGACTGACTCTGCCTCCGCCGCCGGCGACGCCTCAGCTGCCTCAGTAACCTTCTCAGCATCTGGATCTGCATTGGATTTAAGGACGCAGGCGCGTTCGCACAGCTCCTTGGTCTCGAAATTGTTTTTGTTGCCCGCACAGCCGCCATAGATGAACTCCTCGCACGCCCCCGTATCCACATTGTAGGCATAGCGGTAGAAGAGTGCGAAGCATCTGCCCGTCTCCTTGGGTTGATGGCAGTCTTCAGGCACACTGGACACATCTGGTGGTGCCACAGGCTCCTCGTTACCAATCTTTTGCATTTCCACAACCAAATCGGCATTGCTGGAGTCAACGGCGGCTCCTTGAGCGCCCACACAGAGCAGCGCGCCAATAGCGAACACAATCAAAGACTTGTACATCTCGATACACTTCAACTGAACGAATGATAAGTTGACGAAGCGCCGGCTAGGCTTAAATACCAGGTTGGAGGCAACGCTCATGCGTCAGCGCCGGCACGTCGTATAGCTATTTTTTTTTTTATCTTCTCTCTTTTTATTTTTTTAATCACAAACTGAAACTTTGCCATACATTTATTTGCTTAACTGATTCGCCGGCGCATGTAAATCACGGGGGCGCTGGCTATATCGTTGACGTAGACGTCGTCGTCGCGACAACTTTTGACTGCCAATGGCTCAGCCTTCGTTGCAGTTCAACGATCTTATAGATTAGTCTACCTATTACTATAAAACCAAATCATACGCGCATGCATATTTATTTCCGCACAGCACTGGTGTAAACAAAAAATCAAAAATCAAATAAAACAAAAACAATAACAGTCGACAATTAATGTGTAATGGCTATTCTGTTTGGATTCAGTTCCCTCATATCAGACATGCCTCCTCGCACGTTTGCCGGAAGCCCCAGCGGTTGTCGTTGCCTCGACAGCCTCCATATTTGAACGTCTCGCACGCATTCTTCTGTTTATTGTAGTAATACCGCTCCAGACTCATCCGACACGGACCAGGCTCCAGGGGTTGCAGGCACTTGGGATCTTGGGATTAAAAGATCAATCATATATAATCTTATCAAATATTTAATTCATCTTCAAGCTTGTTCAGACTATAAAACTAATATATCTGTGAATTTATTTAAAGTTATATATTAAGAATACCCAACGATTTGTACTTGAATTAAAAATTTGTTTTGAAAATAGCTAAAGCCTTAATGAACCTAATTTAATGATGATTTAAGGTTTGATTGAATTCAAGGTTAACAAGAGGGCATGAGGTTAAAAGGGCTGAATATTTCCTGAAATAATAAAAAGTCTTTAATCGACCTTACGATAGTCTACCCTAATTACGTGAGCATCACTCTTAGTACCAAGACGAGTGTGAACGATAGGATCCTAGAAATAATAAGAGCTGGAATAATCAACTTGGTTGATTGATTCTTCTTGATTCTTCTAAGTCTGAGAAAGATTATTTTTGTATTTTTTTCTGATAAACGTATTGCATTTTTACAAAATTGTAACGATTTGCGAGATTATAGGCAACATCTAGCATTTTTAGACCAATCTAATCAAATTTCAACGCCCACTTACGGGTCGAATTTCCCCAAGCAATGTTCATGAGAAAGCTATCAAAGTTATTTCCAATCGAATACGAGTCAAAATGTAAAAGTGTATAAGGGACAAACATATGTACCTAAAATTTTATAAATATTTTATTATATAACACCTAGCAATCACATACAATTAGTTTAAGCCACTTTTCGGTCTATTCCACAACTTATACAATAGCAATACAAATTTAGGTTGACGAATGCATGTTAGGCAAAAAAATATAAATAAGAAACGACCATCCACAGTTTAGATAAAACGTCCTTAGACACAATTCAAAACTACTATGAAACCCATTAGTGTTATCTGCCTGTTGTTTGCACTGTTCGGCGGGGCATTGGGCGCATTCGATCGTAAGTAAACCCAATATGTAATGACAAATCCGACTAACAAGGACTTCTCGCACCCTACAGCTGTTTGCTTTTTGGAACATTCTGTTCCAGGGCCGTGTAAGGCATATTTTCTAAGATGGAGCTTCAATGGTGAGAGCTGCGTCTCTTTCGTCTATGGAGGTTGTCAGGGTAATGCCAATAATTTTAAAACCGAGGCAGAATGTAATTCGATATGTGGAAGCGATTTATAAAAGAGAGGTATACATTTTATCAAAGTCCTCAAATCAATAATGCAAGCTTTTTATAATTTTTTGTATTACCTTCTTTTGTGTTGTCTTTTGAAAACGAACATCTACAATAAAAGAGTGTAGTATACATAATTTTATATTATCCGGACCAACTGAACTGATTCTGATTAGTTAAAATGACCTAAAGATATCTAATAATTAGTTCAAAAATATATTCGCCATCAGTAGAAACAAATGCGATTTATTGCGTTTAAATATAAACTTGCGGGTTAAATCGATAAAACTAAATACATGTACAATTTCTATGCTTCCTAACATAAAGTGGGAAAAATATATAATGGATCTTTAAAGGAACTGGCAATACACACCCAGAGAAAGACTAACAGTTGACCCATTCAAGATTATACACTATTTAATTAGACCCACTTATGGGTATATTCCACAGCTTATAATATAAATTTAGCTTGACCAATGAATGTTAAGCAAATAAATATAAGTAAGAAAAGACCCTTCGATCTAACCACAGTTTAAATAAAGCTTTCATAGGTACAATTCAACACTTTTATGAAACCCATTAGAGTTATCTGCTTGCTATTGGATCGTAAGTAAACCATATATGTAATAAGAACCCATTAAACTATGAAACGAAATTTACGAATTTCGCTTCACGCATCTCCAAAATATGTTATTATGAAGAAGATAAGCCAACTGTCTCTCAACCTACATGAAATTCTTTTATGAATATTTAATTAATTACATTTAGTTGTCCCACCACTTAACTAGTTAATTTAGTATTTATTTAATAACAGTTTCACATAGTTTTCTCGTTATTTTTCTAACCAATAATAATTGACAGTCTGCACTCTTTTTTCGATGAATTCGTCTATATAGTCTGAACCGGCTTCTACACCTTGGGCGGTTCCAACTTACCTTGCTGCTTTGCCTGCGACTTAGTCTGCTTCGTCGTCGTATCCTTGCCCTGTGGAGCGACACTGGGAAGCGGAATTCCACTTGGTTGCGGAACGACGCCACTCGACTGTGCCTTAACCTGTGGCTGAGGATTGACACTAGTCTGGATTTTCGCCTGCGGCTCTGTACTGCCGCCGGCCTGCACTTTCGATGGTTGTGCATTATTGGGCGTGGTCACCGCCTCCACATGGCACAGCATTAGCAAGGTGAAGCCCCATATGAGCATTACAACACGATTCTTCGGAAATTGGGTCAACGCCAGCGTCATTTTCAGGCCGTTCTGATAACTGCGCGTTATTAACTAACAATGTCAACTGAATGTTCTCTGTTTTTCTAAACTGCCCACGAGCTTGAGCGCTAAGATTAAAAACATACAACTGTAATTATGTGTTGGTTTGTGTGTGTGTGTGTGTGTGTGTTTGCCTAAGCGGCCCGTTTAGCGCATATAGCGTATACGCCGCGTTGAACACAAGCGAGCAAGCGAGCGCGAAGCGTCGCGCAATTATAGCAACGATTTACAAATAAAAACACAGCTATTGAGTTGTTTATGAATTGTCGTCAGACAAACGCAGTTTGTTCCTTTTTTTCATTCGTATTTGTTGTTTGCTGTTAATTATTTACTTTATTTTTGCATGCGATCAGCTGTTATGGGCGCTCAAATACCCTACACAGACAACCAAACAAGATAAGGGCACTGTCGGCGAAGCGATAATTAATGAAGATGTCGTCACTTTTTGTATCATTCATATTATTTACATAATCTTATGTACTTAAGTGGGCGAACTCTCCTGGAATGAACTCAAAGTATTTGTCTGTACACAAACAATATTTTCATTCAAATATGTGTTCACAGTTCAGTTGATAAGAGCAACGAACAAGATCCGCCTTATAGTCTGTCGCTGATCTTTATCAATATTTGGCTTTACAAGCGTATATATAGCATACATTACAAGCGACCTCTCTTGGGTCAATTAGCTCAATAAAGAAGCCGTATTTCATGCTCTCCCGTTTCCAATTCAAAAGCTAGACCTATGCATGTGTAGTCTTCTAATAAACGCCATCTATGATTCATTTATTGCAGTACTCCAGCTTTAAAAGCCATGCCAACCCATTCAATTGGTAAAGGAAAATCGTATGAAGCGGCAGTCATGGAAATAGCAAACCTGTTAGAATCCTGGCGATTCAGTGGACAATTCATTTTAATTAAAACTCCACATATGCTTTAAAAAAACACTCAGATATAATAAAAGATATAGCAAATTATTAAATTAATAACGAATCAGTGAAATTATTATAAGCAATTAGATAGGAATGAAGTCTGTTGTTCAGCGTAAGCTGACTTCTCAACTTAAAAAAACATATAGAGAATGAATAAAAGTAAACCTATTCCAGATTATATACTATTTAATTAGATCCACTTATCGGTACATTCCACAGCTTATATAATACCAATACAAATTTAGCTTGACGAATGAATGTTTAGCAATTACATAAAAGTAAGAAAGACCATCCACAGTTTGGATAAAACGTCCTTAGACACAATTCAAAACTACTATGAAACCCATTAGTGTTATCTGCCTCCTATTTGCACTGTTCGGCGGGGCTTTGGGCGCATTGAATCGTAAGTAAGCCCAATATGTTATGACAAATCCGACTAACAAAGACTTCTCGTATTCTACAGCTGTTTGCTTGTTGCAACCTTTTGTGGATGGGAACTGTAAGGGAGCATTTCCGAGATGGAGCTTCATTGGTGAGGAGTGCGGCTCTTTCTTGTATGGAGGCTGTGGGGGTAATGCCAATAATTTTAAATCAGAGACAGCGTGTAAATTGAATTGTAACAACGATTTTTAAAAGGAGGGGTATAAATTGTACCAAACACCTCAATAAAAACTTATGGATTTAAAACTACTCGCACATAATTGCATTCTTATGATTTTACAACTATTTTGTTTGAATAGACATCCAGAAGTTTTTATAATCAGAGACAATTTTGGGACAATACACTACTACTCTAACCCATTAAACAATCTAATAGAGTTTACGAATTTTAAACAAATTTCATCGAACCAGAAGCTTTTTAAGGAGTGTTGCCAGCTTTAAGGATTATCAGTAGTTTTTCCTTGAAGCATCTGCAGTATATGTTAAGTGTGAAGAAGAAGACAAACCAACTGTCTCTCAATCTATATCAAATTCTGTACAAAATATTTAATAAGTCGGTAACATTATTATTGCCAATAAAATAGAAATGAAGTCTGTTGTTCACTGCAGCTGACTTCCCAACGAATTAAAAGATATTAGACATATTATTCAGAGCAGATGATGAGCATTATAACATTGGTTAGCAGAGAGATTAATCAACATTTTGCTTAGAGAGTAACCCTAAATCAAAATGCACAACTCTAAATATTTGAAAGATATTTTTGGTACATTTCTCACAACACTCCGATAACATCACTTGCTATTTGTTTGCCTACGACTGGATTTTTATTCTTCTTCTTCAGCCATACTATAACAACGCATATAAAATAATTTTGTTACAGGGTACAGGGCATTAAACTGACTGTTCTATCATCTTTTTTTCTCTTTCGCATCATATTATACATTATTCTTCTTCTTCCTTTAGAAAGTTATAATATTCATTAATTGTTAAGACTTGAGAATATGGTAAGCACCATTTAAACTTGTCTTAAATGCTTAATTTGTTTAGAACAATGCGTGCCAGCGAGCTGTAATTAAGATTGAACGACTCACAACTAACAATAATGGCAAGTACGAGTGTAGAGTGAGCTTAGTTCTGTGAATCGCGGCGGACAAGTAAATAAATATTAACCCCAGATTACCTCACCGGAATAATAAATCAAGTCGTAGAACATTTGCTTGCGCACGTAATGCAAAGTGCCGGGCTTGGGTCTGGGTCTGGGCCCGGCCTGACACGGAGATGCAAATGATGCGACAATTATTATGTGTCGCATATTGCAGTTCATTAAATTTTCATTAGATGCTATTAGGGTGTTGAGTCAGAAATCGGGTGATAATTAGGTAGTCGCGTCTCGCACAGTAACGAGACAAGCACTTGAGGATGGCCGGCAATATGTTGTATGTTGTACGAGTAGCAGGTGTTAATACACAGTCAAAATTCAATTATCGCTCAACGATATTGGCTGCTGGTGTTGACAACTATCTCTCACACACACACACACATACATACACACACATATATGTTATATCGTAGATACTTAGTAGCTATCGAAACGGTGTCGTGCTATTTATTCATTAGCCCAGAAGCGCGCGCGCACACACCCACACACACACACACATTTGAAACTATGTATTTGGCTGATTGAAAGGCCAGCAGACACGGGCCAACACATTTGACGGTGGTGCCAATTCAGTTAACTGTTTAATTTGCCCGAAATAATTGAAATGCCACCCCATTATACGAGTAGTATGTCGGCGTGTGTGTCCAAAACTACGTTTAATTACTAAATTAAACCACTGAGCCGGCAGTCGATCTACCGACTACCGACTACTGACTACAGAAATCAGACCCGTATGTTGCATTTATTACTTCATTTAATTAACTGCCAACGACTAGACAGCCAGCTGTGTGCCTTTGCATTTTGAATTAATACTTCCAACTAAACTGTAGTCATCCAACTTGGCTTCATTAACATATGCAGACCCACTTACTGCCAAAATCTGACGCCGAATGAAACTGAAATTGAAGTCTTCATTTACTTCGAACGACAACACCAACCCAACCCAACCTGTTGTTGTTGTTGTTGTTTTTGTTACTGTTGTTCATATTGATATGCGGAACATGTTTGCCGTCGCTGCTGAGCAGATCTTTACGTCATTCATGTATATATACTATATACATATACTATATATACTATGTATATATACACCAATGACTGAGCGTGTAATTTATGTGCATTTTGTTTACTACTTAGAGCAAATACCCTACGTGGTTGGGTGGAAAAAATTAACGACTCACATTATTTGCGCACTCGAAAGCTAATGCGATTCTTAGCAGCCAATGAAATATTTTGCTTAAATTCTCTGATAATGAAAAATTACTTTTTTTTATTGTGAAATAATTTTTTTCCAATCCACTTACCCTTCTTAGAGCTGGAAAAATAATTGACTCATTTTAATAACATTTCGTAGTCCTATAAAATTTCAACCTATAATTATGTGTATTCTCTCATAAATAGCAGATCGTTTATTCTATATAAGTAATATTCAGTGTCTAAAATTGTATCACCAGGACCAGACAACATGACAATTGTTCTATAACCTTACGTCAACCATTGCTAAATCGCTTAAATTTATTCCTCGATACAGCAGTTTTTTCTATTATTTGCAAAAATTCTTCACCTTCCCCTATTGAAGCTCGATCTTATTGGATATCCAACTACAGATATCCAACTACAGATATCCAACTACAAACTACAAAGATAGAAATGTCAACTCTTAAGAATGTGAAAATAATTTGAAATTCTGTTACTATTACTGAGCTCACAGTATCTAGCTCTTACAGTATCATGTTGGAAAACATTTTTAGAACAACTATTTATAGCTATTCTTAGAAAGAAACTCCATTAAAAATATAGCTTAAAAAGTCTTTAAGCAATATTTCACATATAATTCAATGCTTTTGATGGAAAATCTTTTTAAAATTCACTGTGACAGTAGCAGCATTTAATCTGCGAATAACTGTTACTGAGTTCACAGTATCTAGCACAAATAAGAAAATGTTTGAAAAATGGAATAGAACAAGTATAGTATATGTTTAGTTGTTTTTCATTGGAAACTCCATTAAAAAGATAGTTTTAAAAGTCTTTAAGCAATATTTCACATATAATTCAATGCTTTTGATGGAAAATCTTTTTAAAATTCTCTGTAATATTAGCAGTCTTTAGTCTGTTAAGCTGTAACTCATTTGATGTGTAAGGGTATGACGTTATTAAACTGTTCTGCTGTTAAACTATAGTCTACAGATCTTTAGGTAGCGACGCTATTAACACGTAAAGGTGTGGCGCTATTAACCTGAGATGCTGGTAAGCTATAAAGCTGTGTAGTAGAGGTGGTTTGAAATAAGCCGACCCATGCCCATTTCTCTAACGTGTAGCTATAATGCTGCTAAGTTATAACGCTGTTAGGGTCCACAGATCTTTTGAATTCCCAACCTGACGATATCTAACAGTCATTATATAAAGACATAGGAAGCTGTAATTATTCAATTTATTTAAATGTTGGCTATAAATGTTAGGCTATTCATTAAAAATAAATAAATAAACAAGTGTTAACTGGTTACCAGCTTATTATTGGGAGTTTTTTTATCGCTTGAAAAAATAAACAAAATAAGTAAAAAAGAAAGTGTTTTAAATATGACTTAAGCTGAGCTTAATAATTCAGTATTATTTTCAAATAAGCATTGACTTAACGGCTTGAAGAATGTAAATATATGTTTTTGTTTATTAGCTCATATTCTGTTAAATCATGTTCTAAATTCATTCTTCAATTCTCCTTCATCCGTTATTAAATCTACACCTTTCTTTACACACTTAATATAACTTACAACTAATCCCATCAACCTGAACAAATTAAAAGTCTATTTTCTTCAACCCAACAACCTCCCGTTCTTTATATACATATTAATTAGTTATAATTTACTTAACTTAAACTTAACTTAAATTACAAACGTATTCAACACGTCATCTTCTATCTTCAGTCCTAAAATCAATTTCATTTATTTAGATCAGTGGCCGGCAATATGCGCTTATTACAGAAACAAATTGAATACAAATCTATAAAAAGAGGAATCTATATTGAAATCTATATTCAGATTAACGAAAAGTAGGCTGAGCGTTACGCACTAATACGAGTACGAAGGCCAGCTTTGTGTTGATTAGAAACAAATTAGCAAACTACTTATTATTTAGTACAGCTTTGTAGCTTTTAATCCACAAGTGTTGTTCAGAACCATTATAAACGAAATCAAGGCAATAAAAGCCCAACATTCAAGAGAGATATATAGTAAAACTACAAAGCAATCCAAGCATAATAGGAAAATAATAGTAACAGGATACATCGCTCTTTTTTCTCGCTTTATAAAAATACTAACTCCAGCTATGGCATATATTAAAAAATATTATTAATGAAATATCTTATATATTAATATATCTTATATATTAAGCTGAAATTACTGTAAATGGAATATCAATTATAAGATATTAATGATGCTGTTTTTATTTGACAAAAAAAATTGTTTATGAGAAGAGTTTTAAATATGGAATCAGAATTAAACTTGCATGGCACTCTACAACAATATTTTGATAATGAAGTCTTTCCAGTCTATATTATATTATTCCAGTCTTTATAAATAAACCTGTCTTTGCTGGCCTGTAGGTAGCTTAGTGTTCACTATGGCCGATTCCATTATTGCGCTCAGTAAGGTGTGATTGGCACATTAGCTAACTTGGTCAATGTTGAGTCTTGGCAAAAATAGAAATAAAGCACGGTAGGAAAACAAAGCAGAAAAAATAGTTGGGAAAAAAACAAACCTAGAGCACAGTACGTTGGGTGTTAAAGAGTAAGTCGGTCGGTCGATTGGTTGGTTGGTTGGTTTTAAGCATCGAGGCGCGTCTGGCAATGCGTTGGCTTAGCATTGGACTGTGCCTCTGGCTGGTGTGTCTGCTGTACGGCTCTGGAGAGGCAGCCTCCAAACGCGGTAGTTTAAATATAAAACATCAAATATTGGATTGTCAATCTTTAATGTGTACTATTTACTAAATAACAATCATTCGACAGTGAAATTGTGCCTGGAGCCAGCGATCAGCGGTCGCTGCTTCGGCTATGTGGAGAGCTATGCCTACAATCCTATCAAGCGGCACTGCGAGCAGTTCGTCTATGGGGGCTGTGGCGGGAACGATAATCGCTTTACCACTAAAGCGGAGTGCGAATACAATTGTCGTGATGTTTAACAATAACAAATAGCGCATGAATGACATAAAAATTAAGTGTACTTTGAGCTTCGACTTAACATACTATATTTACAATATCATACAAATATCAAGACATACTATACATATATACATTTTATAGTTTTATTTGTGCTTTTGGTTCATCACTTTGTCGTCTCATTGGGTCTACTAGACTGCGTATTCATGCGTATCCGGATATGCCGCTTATTGTTGCAGATTTTCTCGCAATCCTCCAGTGTGGCAAAGAGCTTCTTACTGCTGCAGCCCATATAGCGACAATGCTGGGTCTCCGGATCGTAATATATGCCCAGTGTGGTGGGCACACACAGGCTGCTGGTGCTCGGCTTCACTTGGCAGAGATCACCTGAAAGAGATTTGGTTTTAAAATATGCAGACAGAAAAGTGTAGAGTAGACGCTCAATAAACTCAATGAAGTGTGTCAGCTTGCTGTGCAAATACCTGTGCGGAGCTACCATTTGGAGAGCAGGTCTTCATGAAGGACTGGTTACTAATGTTCGAATTCTACACTTCTTACGAATTAAGAGACACCTTTCGTTTTGATTTAAAAACAAGAAAACCTAACATGATTCATTATAGAACTTGATGTCCAGCTGTAAGGATCACCATTTGAAGAATAGATCTTTGGAAGATCTGATTTTGTTTTTATTTGTGTTGAAAAGAAGCTTTGTTCGTTAAATATCTTAAACCATGCTAGGCAGATATCAACATTATTCGACCTTATATTATTAATAAATTTAATTAAGGATATTTTTTTTTCTTAGTCTTCGTTTTAAGTACAAGTGTTATGTGTTTCGTAACACTAATTCTCCTATTAGTATTCTATACATATTTAAACACCTTCAACAAATTTTAGCATTTGAGATCAGAAATACTAATACTAATAAGTATTAAAGAAAACATATATGTAGTATATATGAAACAAAATTATGATTTTTCAAGACCTCATTTCCAATATTAGAAATTTTCATGAAATATTTAGAGCAGCTGAGGAAGAAGATCTTGTTTTGCTACTCAAAGAAGGAAGAATACTTTGAACAAGCGGATTCTGCAGAAATACTAAAGAAATGCTGTACTTAATACACTAATATAGGCAAAAATAATTATAATTTTTGAAGAATTCATTTCGTTCTGTAAATGTTAAAGCAAATCGAAAATTGTCGTCTAAGTTCAACCAATCAGAAAAATATTGATAAAAGGAATTATTTTTTAAGGAATTCAGTTCATGCTATATATTTTTAAAACATAGAGGACGAACTTTGAAAAAAAGAAAACAACTGTACTTATTCACTCATACTGATGAAAATATATGTTTTTCACATACATTTTCTGGTGCGTGTTTTCAAAACAAGGGGAACTTTTACTTCTTAGTTCAATCTACTTTCCATATACAAGGAAACTAATCCAAATACTAGATACTTATAATATATGACTTTTGAAAAAAATCACTTTTAAAACAAATGAAACTTTTTCTCTTCTTAATTAAAATATTTAAAAAAACACATTTCAAATCATTTAGAACGTGGACTTTTCAAGAGATATCTTTATACACCTAATTCTGTTTTTACACGGTATTTCTTTACACGATTTTGATATAACATGGTTTGAAAATTAAAAAATTCATATATATTTCTTTAGATATAAGGAACCAATCGCCTATTTTTGTATATGATCAATGCATTTTTTTACACGGTTGTTTCTGGAACTAATCTACCGTGTAAAAACAGAATTAGGTGTAATACAAAATAATTAAATAAACTCACACCAAGGGGAAACCATTGCTATATGGGCCGTTATGCTCATTATTTATTTGATTAAATAAAATAAACATAAATCCTTGTTTTTTCGCTGATTTTAATAAGTTTTAGGGATAGGAACGAATCACCTATTTTTTACACGGTTTTATTTTATACCGTTTTTTTGGAAACAATCTACCGTGTAAAAACTGAATTAGGTCTATTTAAATATAAACACCCTTTTAATATAGTGTATGAATAAACAGCTTGGCGCGTGCCAATTGCATGCAATCAATATATGTACACATTGATTGATGATAGTATATACATATATGGAAGTATTATAAAGATTTCTTGGACTGACGTTGCGAATGCAAAACAGAGCATTTAAAATGCAAAACAACACCGTTACGGCAACAATACAATTTATAGTAAATGACTAAGAGTTAACACTTCTTTAAATAATTATATCCAAGGATTTATTATAGTTTTGTCAAAAGCTAAAGTAGATAACTGTACATAGATTGCGTGCGCAAAGTTTGGTTTATGTAGCTTTTGAAATGTGGACAATATTGGATAAATTCTGAATTCCAGAAGAATCTGGATACCAACATTGGTTATTCTAGCTTTTATAGTTTCTGAGATCCTTGCGTTCATCCAGACAGACAGACGGACGGACAGACGAACGGACAGACAGACGGACAGAAGGATGAACATGTCTAGATCGATTTCTCTCGTCAAGCTGAGCAGGAATACAAGTATATGCTTCCTTCTGCCTGATTCATACTTTGCACAAACCTAATATACCCTTTTTACCCTACGGGTAGAGGAATTTTGAGTAAATATGCCTGCTCAGCCTTTATGAAATTAGCAGCTTACTGTCACCATTTAATCGAGCTTGTACCATTTATAGTTGTTTTATTTATACTTACGCACTCGTGCTGCCACCACTTGGCGTTCCAGACACATGACCAGCAGGAGCAGGAGGCACAGCAAGGGTTGCAAGCAATTGTGGCTCTTCATTTTGTGTGTTGGACAGTTATTTGTTTATCACTTTCTTGGTTAAGCTGGCTAGGCTGGGCTAGGCTGGAATTGTCACAATTCAGCTATTTTGTACTGCCGCTGGTACAGTTACCGTCAGTATGGCCATAGACTTGCTGTCGACTGTCTCTGAGAGTTGGGGCGCGCTTAAGGCAAATGCGCAGCAGCAGTTTCTCGCCATAAATGTCTAGTGTATGGGAGGTATACTGAGTAGTATACTTGTATTATGTTTTTGTATATATGTATGTAATATATAGTAGTAGTATAGTATGCGCGTTCTCTATTGATATGCGCACTGTTGCCGCTTTATTCTTAAAGAATTAACGAGCTTTTATACTAGACAGGCAGGCAACAATGGCACCAAAGTTCAGTCCCAGTGCAGAATCAAATGGTTTGTCGCAACCGAATGAGGCAGTGGCGCGTTTTATACTGAAAAAATTATCGACAGGTTCGGTGGCACACACTGCGAAAGTCATAGACGTTCGTTAACTTGGGGTTTGGGGAAACTTTGGGAGTCAAGGCTATAAGAGCAGCACTTCAAGATAATGACCGAATTTTGCTCGATTGCCAAAATAATTGCGCGACTTGGTCACTTGGTCGTAGAGCTGTTCGATTTCTGTTGTCGGCTACGCGTCAAGCTCGACTCGAAACCTCGAACAAAAGCCAATACTCATCATAATCTGGCTAGGCGGTCGTCGCTGCTACTTTGATGATAACAAACGTTCGGAACAACGCCGTCTCGCAAGCAAAATAGTAGCTCAACGGCCAGCTAAATCCAGTGGATGCCCGTTTTAAGAAGGCCATCGTCACCATACCAGGGCTGCAATACCGAAAATCATGCTTACGCCATAACGCCCATATAGAACGAGTATATAGTATGTATACGCTATCACTAGCATATTGAACCGGGCCACCTCAACAAAATTTCACAACGTTTCCCCACGAAGCATAAACGACAGAGATCGGCCGGGGAATACTCTATTTTATATTCTTCTTCACTTATGCTTTATGGTTTCTCAATTCTCGATCTGTTTTGAAGTCTAATTGTTAATTAGGAAGGGTACAAGAAGTGTTAACGATCTGTCTTTCTCAAGTCGTCATCTCCATCAACCACACAAAGTTCTTTATTACAAACATATACACACCATATTTTCCATACTTTCTCTATTTATCTTACAACTTAGGGATGAACTGGTAATAATTATAGATTTTTACCAGCTTTCTTCTTTCAGAAGCTGGTGCGTCAATAGAAGAATACTCTTATTTGCTAAACTTTTCCCTATTCCGGGTTTACATTACAACCTACCTGCTGATAATTAAGAATTCTTCACGGCTACTCTTTTCCAGCTCATAATTCATCAAAACTCCAGACTTTTTTAAGAAAAAGGCCGCCTTTAATAGCAGCTGTAGGATATTTTTATATTTATCCATAATCCATATGCTTCGAATATAGTTTTCTTGGATTATAACTACAATTATGTAGAGCATAGAGATCATTATAACTATAGGTACATTATATATCTAGTGAAGCTCTTAAGATCTCATTGTGCAATTTTAAAAATCAAGGGTTCCTGAAAGATCTCAGTTAGTTGATTCCTAGTGCTATACTCTACTATAATAAGTGCTCCGGTATCTCGAATTCTCGCACTTCTGTTCATACATCGTACACGAGCAATACAGGTTTATAAAATCAATTTAGTTTCCTGTTTAGTATATTACCAACTTTATCCTTCAAAATAAGAAAAGTTTTCTTAATAAGAACATACTTTTTTTTAAATAATGTCAAAAAAGGGTCGTTTTTATAAAAAATTTGATTTCATAAATTTATCAAATATTTTTTAGATAGATCGAACATCAAATCACAGCTGCTTTTAGAATCTTCCCAAAGCTGATTACTTAAGAATGAATATTCCCATCAAGATATAAGTAATACGGTGTAGATTGGCGAGTTAAGGAAAAATTTTTCAAAAATGTTTTTAGACAATCAACAATCTAGTCACAACACTCTCCCACTCTATAGCGTATGAGAGAAACTGAAAGCAGTTGCGTCATTGCTTTGATAATTATTAGTAATTAGTGCATGGCGAGTTGCGCGTAATGAGCAGCAGAATAGAGCAGAGAAAGAATTTTAGACGTACATATCGGCTGATCCGGAGTATTATTTATTCAGAGCTTCGTTCAATTAGTTTATTCATTTACATGCAGATCTTGAATGCGACGCGTGCCTCGCACACATGTGGCCAAGCAGTTCTGTTTGCTGCCAAAACTTTGGCCGGGTGTCATACGACAGGCCCCGATCGAGTACATCTTGCAGTCCTGCGTGTTGGGATCGTAATAGAAGCCCTCGATCTCAATGGTACATAGCCCTACAGAGTGCGGCGGCGGCTGCTTGCAAATGTCTGAAATGGTTCGACTCATAATCGGCTGAGAGCACACACACACACACATACAAAATATACATATATTTTCAAAACTCACTCGGCAAGGTGGCGACAAACCGCGTCTCAACTGAGAAACAGGTGCAGCTCAAAATTACGAACAGCAATATCAATAATGATCGAGACGATGACATCTTTATTTCTATGGACTTTCACACTCAACACATAAGCGGCTTCTGTTCAGCTCGTGAGCGAGCGAAGCGAACAAATGAGCAGCCGGACAGACGGACGGACGGACGGTTAAAGCCCCCGCCGACCGCTAATGATAGCCTTTAGCTATGAGTTCAATGTGGCGGAGATAAGCGACCCTCTCCTCCTATACGACTATTTAGCTACACTAGCCGAGCCAGCTAGCTCAGCATTTAGCATATCAGTTAGTCACCGCTAGTCGGCCGGAGATCAGCTCAGATGCAGTTTCAACTCACAGTCAAAAACATAGGCGAATGCAAGTGTTATTTGTTTTAATTGCGAATTGCCAATGACCCCCAGTTGTTTTAAACAATGAACTCGCGCGACTGGAGAGTGTAAACAGTAATCGGAGCCAGATAACGAAATCGAAATAACAATTGGTAGACACGCACTCGGCAACCAATGTAAGCTTTGTACTCATCTGTAAATTCAAGCTAAGCTATTTTATTCTCATTTAGCTCAGAGGGAGATGCGACGACCCCTAAAAGTGAAACCTTATCAGATTAATAAGTTTATTTATACATACCTATTCATACAACAGATTTTTCTTACAAACCAGAGATAGTTTTTAGTGGGGCGAGAGTTTAAAAAAATTCCACCCGCTAGTGGGGAAAATAGTTATAAATACCTATTTATACAAACGTTTTTTGTCATTGATTCAGCAATACACAACGATAACTATACAAGATAGGTACAAGATAAGTAGAATACGAATAAGTAGAATAGTGTAAGTCACTTACACTGGAAGTGAACAAAACGAACTGTTTTTTTAACTGTCAACCTGCTTTAAGCTAAGCTGGGGTTTCTTAGTAAGTACCATACACTTATATAGAACGTTGTTTTCGTAGCAATTTTAATAAGAACTAGGGCTGATTTCTTTGATAACCATTAATGGCGAACATCTAGAAATAACATTATTAAATTATTACGAAACCTTTAAATATGTTACAACTACATTTTTGTTTACAATTTTAAAACGAGTTTGAGGAGATCAATCGCTAACCACCCAATTAATTTATCTTCTTCTCCCGTACAGAAAATCCAGAAAAATGGCGCTTTGCAGTTCCATGTCTACCCTGATATTACACATAACCAGAAGACTGTGTACATCGAATTTGGCGAAGAAAGCTATAGTTATTTCAAAAATACCTTTAGAAATTATAAAAGTTAGAAGGAATTCCTAGCACTTCTACTTGAAAATCTTAAGGCTGTGTTTTCACATTATTAGAAGTAAGTTTCTAGTAGTCAAAAAATTTCTTTAAACTTACCTGAAAATCTATATTGTTATAAATGAAGAATATTATTATTTTTAGTTGCATCTTTTTCAATATTATCAGAGACATTGACAATGCAGTTTAAGGAGATACATAAAAGTTCCTTTTAAATCAGACTATCTACACTTTTAATAGACTAGACTATGTTAATATTATAAACTAGTTCGGTTACTTTCTAAAAAAATAGTAAAAATTGGTTTGGGTTTCCTTGAAGAGTATTTTTGTTTTATATCATATATACGAAATTTTGCAAATAAAAGCTTTATTCCATTTGAATTTAACATATATTATCTCTTATTTTTGACTATCGCTATCAGGGCTAAGATAAAAATAAGTGATATTTTTAAAAATAAATAGATATTCCTAAAATAATATAGAGCAGTCAATAATAGTGTTGTTAATGTGGGGGCCCAGGCCCAAGCCATCAGTAAAATTTATCAACAATAATATTAGTCATACCACAATGGCATGGACAACTCCTTTGTAGATATATTTTAAGGTTTTATTTAAGTATTTTGTCAACAAATTAATAATCAATGTTAGAGCAACTCGTGTAGGTGCACATCTTTACGCACCGCATTATTGAAGCCCTCTTTATAACGATACCAAATGGGGCTTTTAACAATTGCATCTGTTTTTGCTATAAATGTGAAGTGAAGAAGTATTGATTGATAAAAACGGAGATAGTAGCGTTTAAAGAGCTCACTTACCTTCTTCAATTTTAGACGATGCAGTAGATTTGTGTTGAACTCGTCCAAAGAAGTCTTTGGTAAGCTGTAATGAGGGAAAAGAAAATTTAATATTAATAAAAGAATTCTATTTATTTATAAATAAAAATTTAAAATATAAAATGTGTTGCAATTAAAATAAAATAAGTATACCAATAAATTAGAAATCCATTTAGATAACACTTTATGACATGTATTGTTAAGTTATATTGATATCGATCTAAATATTTAAAGACTAGTGTACTAATTTAAAAGTAACCTAATAGTTATAACGCTATGATAGAGATTAGAAATATAATAAAGAAAATAACGTTTTATTGAAAAGCATTATTAACTGGCAAATGGTTCTACATGCGATACAGCAAATAACTTTAGCGGTCGTCGGATTAACTCCCTCAATATTATTCCGTTTTTACAACCACAGCAGTGGTGAGCGGAAAAGTCATCAACCATTGAGGAAAGCACATCATCTGCAAAGTGTACCTAATTTCCACAATACAAGTAATCTTCTGAAGAAGATCCGACACTACGTCATACATGATCCGAAGAAAGCTGAAGCCAAAACACAGAGCAAACAATGAAATTTTCGAATCTGTAAACTGTGAAAATCTATAATCTAAAATAAAATCTTTAATTTATAATTAAAAATCTAATTTAACGCAAGGTAGCTAGCACTCATATCGAATTATAAAATTATCATTTTACTTTTTTTTAATGTAAATTAAAAATTCAAAAATACCTTTTAATAATTTTAGGAAGCAAATAAATTTGATGGTTATACATGAAGTATAGTATATTCATCTCAATAGCCATAAGATAAACAAGTTAGAGTAACGAAGAAGCTGCAACAGAGATCATCAATGCAATAAAAAAGCTGCGCACAGAGCGCTCGACTGCTGAGTTAAACCATAAAGCCGAGGACAAAAGAAGGAAAAGCAAAGCGGCAGTCACTTTCGTTTAAGATGGGCAATAAATGTTGGTTTGCGTTTATCCCACATTATGGCCCGAATGCCAATCCCCTTATGGGTTATTAGCTTTTGTGGGATTTACGCAATGATACAACTGGACCAGGTACGGCGGTGCGAGCGAAGGCGATGTTCGAGGGTTGCAAAAAGCTACCAAACCAAATGGTCAAATGTAAGAGTATGCGCAAAATAACAAAATTGAAAGAGCCAACAAATTTGCAAGCAAATTGCTGCTAAGTAAATGCAAGACATATGAGTCGCATATATATCTATTCACACAATATATCGCTGGCATGCAAATTTTAGCTGCACTCAAAGCAAGTGGCAGGATGCGAAAGGAATACCATTACCTGCTGTTTCGGCGCATTCGTAGCACTAATTTGTTTTGGCTTCAATGTTCTCAAATGATTGGGCAAATGCGGTGAAGTTTTCTTTGTGGCTGGCTGAGATGATGTTGTTGTTGGTGCTATTGGATCGAAATCATTGCTCTTGGGCGCCGCACGACGTATGCGTTCCAGATCCACCTCGCGGGCTATAAGCTGACGACTGAAGTAGGGCAGCGTAATGCCCGGAAAACCTGCGTCAGCCAAATAGTGAGAGAGATGATTGGTTTTATCGAGGCATACTTACCTGGAAAGGCGGACAATGCATCCAAATCGGGCTCAGTTTGAAAGACATAATGACCCTCCACAGATTTGACTTGCACAAATGTTAAGCCGAGATCAACCATAACCTGTATGGTGTGCCGCAAATCATATTGCTCTCTGGGAAATTAAGAATATATTTAAGGTAAGAAAAAACTGTAATACAAAGCTAACTAAATGGAGGGAGCAATGTTTTCATTTTGATAAACTTAACCTTAGAATATATATATATTTAATATTTTTATTCTCTGATCCCATTCAGCTGTTTGCTTAGCCCTTAACTAAAGAGAGAATGCTTTCAGAAGAACTACTTTTCTTGAAGATTTAACTCAAGCGACTTTGACATAATGTCTGCCATAAAAAAATAACTTTCTTTTGTCTTTTTAAGGTTGTTGGAACTGCAAAAATTAACCATATGGATCGACAGTTCTGGCTTCAATTCACTCTTTGACTCACAAGTCTTTTTTTTCTTTTTATCCCTATCTTTAGAATCAAATCTTCAAAAGATATAGAGCACTCTTCGAAAATGTTCAAGATGAGTTTTAATTTCCAAAAATTATCGAAAAAGAAACTTAAAAAATTGCTTTCCTTCAAGCTAGATCAATCTACCATATTTGGATATTGAAGTGTTCTTCTTCTTCTTCTTGCCGCTCTCACCTAACCTATATTCTCTCCTGTAGACGACATATCTAGCGGGTTCAAGAAGAGAGTTTCTTTCAATCTAGTTTAATTTGTATACTATTTGATACTTGTAGATTGAAGCTTTCATTCTTTTCGATATGTAAGCCTTATTTAGACCAGCTTGTTTTCTTCTTAGCTGTACGTTTTTTCCTACCCTTTTACGGCCACACAGCTTCCATAGAAATAGAAGCTTATGCCAAGCTACAAGCTACAAATACTTAATGCTACTTACTTTTGTGATAGCAGTTGAACCGCCACCGAGCGTAATTGCGGCGATATAATGCGCCTCACCAGCGGCACAGTGTCCATTAATAGTACACTACCCTGTCCAATGCCCTGTGCTGCCGTCGTGATGCTCTTGCGAAAGGCTTGAAAGATGTTGCGCTGGTTCGTGCTCTTCTGATTGAACTGCAAGGAAGGAATGAAGGGATGGAGTTGAAGTAGATAAGTGTAGCTGTAATGTAAACATTGTCAACACGATGCGAAATCTATGCAGAACTCTCATTAATCTTGTGATTGCATTTGAGGCACATAATGCACAAAAAATTACATGGCTTGATTGTGTTGATTATACACTTTTCTTGGCCGCAGCAAAGTTTGTTTGCTCGAGGCTTGGGCACAAAAGCGCCAGCTAATGATGCCTGCATAATACATGAGTTGCCATGAGACGCAATGGCTGCCTCTGTGTGCTTTGAAAGCCACATGCAAAATGAAAAGATATAACCATGATGACGATGACGATGATGATGACGATGACGCTTATGAGGCTCTGGCCTCGCTCACTTTATCGTACATACCTCAAAGCCACGCGTAGGAAATGCAATTTTCGGCCAAGCCAGTGTGGCAAAAAGGAGATGCCACACCACAAACCCGTACTGCAAATACGGATAGACTGTGTAGTTTTGCTGTCGCGATATTTGATTTTGCAGCGCATCGGAGAAGCAAAACCATTGCATGGCCTCGCAAACGCCATTGAAGTTTGGATCCGGCATTTTCTGCTGCAAATAGTTCTCATACACTCCCTGGGTGAGACTGAAAAGATAGCAGAGACAAAAAGAATAAATAAAAGCACTAAAATGTTTAAAGAGACAGTTTTTAAATTTCCCCAATCCTTACAAAAGTAATAAATAATTTCTATAGATCAAAAAGATCAAAAGTCGATAGCAGGTGAAAGAAATTAAAAAAAAAAAAAAGTTTAACAAAATAGAGTACAAAATTTCTGATCAAATATATACATATTATTTATCATCTTAACCCAATTGTTAATTCATATGTATAGAATTCTGAAGTGATCCTAATCTTATAATAAAATTTCATAAAAAGTAAGACTAATTTTGTTAAAACTTTAAAGTAAATTAATAATATAAAATCGTATTGAAAATGTACGAAGAATTCCAAAACGAGCGTCGTAGCTTTCTACGATGATTTTTAGGTATGTAATAAAAAATATGTTAGGAATATTTATAAACTTAAATCGATATATTGTAAAAAAAATGTGCAAATATTTAAATTACTCCGTAAACTATTTAGAAAATTAGTAATAATATATTTATTATTTATTTTCACGGTCTATGCCAACGCTTAGAGTTCGAATTAGATAGTCTTGAACCATCAACATAGTCTGATAAACATAGTCAGATTAACATAGTCTGATAAACATATTCTGATATTCATTTATAAAATTAATACAGAAAATATATAATACGAACCAAAAGGAATAACCTAAAAGCAATAACACTGTTGCTCCCCCTTCTTAAAAAATGTTTCACATTTTCAACTTAATTCATTGGGCACGTTCAGCAGGTCGTAGCGATTTGTGATTTGTGATCGATCATTACTGATCGCTTGTGATGAAATCATAATATTTTCCCGATTGTTTTATTGTTTTTGCGATTGACATTTTTACTAAAATGAATCACAAATCGGAGCGATCAGCAGGTGAAATCAGTAATGATCGATCACAAATCACAAATCGCTGCGACCATTATTTTATGTTTTTCCAGAGCTGTAAATTGTTTCTTGACAGTAACTTTCCATTCAATGACATATAGACTATGTATCGCTCTATTGTCTTAATAACACAAATAAGCTGTACTTAAGAAATAGCTTTTCTGTTTCTTCTTAGGTATATAACAACATACCGCTCGTAATCACCACCCGAATGCACCACATCGAGCACATTTCGCACCCGTGTGGCCACCGACATGTCCGTCATAGTGACCTGCGCCTCCTCCTCCTCTGTTTTATTGCGCTGTTGCAGTTGTTTTTTGGGACGTTGTATCTAAGAGATAAAGCAACTATGAGAAATCGAATAATAATATATATTAGGTCTGAGAGCATACCCTGAAGATAGCGCCCCAAATATCAAAGAGGCCCTGCGAGCGATCCTTTTGTCCCAGATTATTGTTAAGCACATCCTGCAGTGAGAGACTCTGTTGCTGGGCGCTGCAATCCATTAAGGAATTAGAGAAAATATACAAGAGGTTTGTGTGCCGCCAACTTACCTGAAGAACTGCATGGAGGAAATACAGCTGCGGACATCGTTGCCCGATTTGTCGGCCAGCGCTATCAGTGAACCAAAATCTGTTTGCAGGCGTTCCCTTCGTGCAATTTTTAACAGTCTGCCAATTTGGAGATCAGTTTAGATCAAGTTTAAGGCAGCGAATCGAAGAACTTACCGCTCTGCCAAACGTGCTGAATCAAGGGGCGGAAACCTAACGACGAAAGCCATTTGGCGGAGTGCCCGCAAAGCCGGATCGTAGATATCATTACAGATACAAATAATCGGTCGTTTAAGCACATTGTGCACGGCTTTGGCGCCCTTGGCTTTCGCCTTGCTATAGATGCCGTCGTTAACGAACTTTACCAGATATTCTATGGACTGACGGGGAGCGCCATCGATTTCATCTGCAAGGCAGTAAAGGTTTGAGTTTTAGTTCAGGATTTTTCTAACTTGTCTAGCATTATTTATCATCTATAGACAGAGCTCTCCAAGGCCCCCAACTCACCCAATATGATGCAATTGGGACGCCGATCCACATTCAGCACGGAAGACATTTGTGTGCCATTCTCCAATGCCAGCTTGAAGGCCTCTGGAGTGCGATCGTCTGAGGCGTTTATCTCACGCACATTATAGCCAGCATGTCGGGCGATTGTGTGCGCCAACGTCGTCTTGCCCAGACCAGGCGGACCACACAGTAGAGCCACTTTCTGCATAGGTCTGCCCAGTTCATCAACATTGGTGTTCAGTGCCTGGCGCGGCTTACGCTGACGCCAACCACCATTCGATTCAAATTTCCCCGTGCGTTTGTTGAAGCTATTCAGCTGTTGATTACCAGCTCCGCCTCCGCCTCCTCCTCCACCACCAGCAGCGTCTGTCTGCTCCTGCTTACTGTGGAACTCTTTGCCAAAGACGACCTTGTCCCACATTTTCAGCCAGTAGAGCAAACTGCGATTGGTCATCTCGTCGGAGAGCAAATCAATATATTTGCGTGGCTTATATTTGTCCACCCAAAGGCCTTCAGTTTCCGCTCCCGAAGCGGCTGCCGGCGCAGCGGCAACGGGCAATTGTGTGGCGGGCGCCATGCGCTGCAGCACCTAGAAGGAATTCAAATAAATAGCTCTGAAACATTAACTTAAATTAGGTCTTTTTCATTCCTTACCAGCTCGTTGGCTTCCTGCCACACCTGCTGCTTGGCCTCGCCCAGCAAACTGCCACACATGCTTCCATGGCGAAAGCCGCGCGCACTCAAGAGCTCCAGCTGGCGCGTCTCATAGTCCTCGGAGTGGAAACGCACATAGAGTCGCTCCAGATCGCTACGTTGCACGGCTAGAAATGGCCAGGTGGGTATCTCGTAGGACAAATTCCGCATTTTGAACTCATGTAGCGCCTTCAGGCGCGTCACCTCATCCTGGCGCACCGTCTTGCTTGTCTCCCGCATCTTGCGCCGCAGCTCGAGAATGCGTTCAATTGCCTCATTGTCCCGCTGCTCCTCGGTGCGCGCCTTTTTGGCCATTGGATCCTCGTAGCTCTCATCTGGATATAGATCATCAATGTCCCCAAAGAGATCGCGCTCCAGGCGCCGTTTACTACTCTTTCGCAGTCCTACCTCCTGCAGCTGCGTGGCAGCAGCATTGAGCAGCGGTTCCGTTTCCATTGCCACCTCCTGCACAACCTCTTTTATTGGCAGCATGCGCTGGAAGGGAGTGGAACAGCCACGTTGTGGCGGCCCTTTTGGAGTTCCAAAGAGGCGTCGATTCACTGGAGCTCCATTCCCTTCCGGTTCCGCTTGACTGTGGCCAAAAGTTATTTGCGACAATTGTGGCGAGTGGAGCGTGGAGTTGCTCAGCTGTGATTGGTCCAGCAAGGGTGCTCTGCCCCCTTTATCCACCTGTTGCAGCTGCAGTTTCTGTTCTTGTGCCGCTCGTTGCGCCGCCGCTTGCTTGGATGTTGTGGGCCCATATTCAACATGCTGTTGGTCAGAGGGCAGGTCATCCAGCATCTCCAGCTCATCCTGGTATTGCAGTTCAAATTCCTCATTCTCATCCGGATATTGATCCATTTTAGAAACCGATTAGCGAGCAAAACATAAACAAGACTCTTTTTGTTTTGGGCGGGAACAAACCAGGGAACCAGTTCAACCACATGAACTTAAAACAAAGCTGCCTGCTACATAACAGAATACGTATGTTAGTCCAGTAATAAAGTGGACAAAATCTAGCAACTTTGACGTCTACACAGCGTTGCCACATGCATGAAATACTATTTTGTGGGCTACGTTCCATATGAAAGAACGAACTAGTTGCGCTATATTTTAACTTGTAGTTCAGCTTAAGAAATTAGTTCAATTAATCAATAAAGATATACTGCTTTCGTATAGAAATCCATTTGTACATTTTAAAGGGATTTTTTTTCTTTTCCAATTTTATTTTAAAAATGTTTTTTGGTAAAGATTTTAAAGAAGTTGTCTATAACATATAAATTAATTATGTCTAACTATTATAACTCTTTTTGATAAAAAGAAAAAATAACCATTGTTGCTAATTTAAGAGTTCTACTTAGATATTATATTATTATTTTTTGCGTGGTTCGTTTACAAAATCGCAACAGATTGGCGCCAAGAGGAAAATCAGTTCACGAATCAGTTGGAACGGAAACAACAAGGTGACCCAAATCCACAAACGAAATGAACGATAATTAGTGGCCTAGCAACTTGAAAGTATATAAGTGCATAATATATTTTCTAAAAGAAAATAAATTAGTAAGAAGACACATTTTAATTAATGTTGATTGAATATATTTAATTAGGTTAATTAGTACATATTTTTATTGTTTGGAACGCATTCGATTTCCCATTGGGAAGGCAAGGCGTGCGCGTGTCAGTGTGGATTTTGATTTTTTTTCTTTCTTCTTTCAGTCTCAGTCTTGTCGCTCTCGCGGCAGCGTGAACAGCGCTAATTCGTAGGGAGGTTTTAAATATTTTTATTTACATTTTACCCAATAAATTATCTAAAGAGTGTTGCCTAAGTATAAGAAAGTGTCGATTATCTGCGCCGTCACATATTTAGCTGCCTTTGTTCAACAAAAGCGCTCAAAATCCATTTCCAAATGGGAACGCAAACAAGAACGTCATGATGGTGTGAACAGCTGCTCTTGCCTAGCAGAGTAACCTTTTTGCATACAATAACAAAAGCACAAACACACACACACCAGCGACCACCTAAAACAACAACAACAAGCAACAACGCACAGCCGAAATTAGAGGCCAGGCCGCCGCCGCTGCCGTACAGTTATTGCAAAAACGAAATTGTGAATAAAGCGAAAAATGCATGTCTTGTGATAACAATAACAACAGCAGCAGCAACAATAATAAATACAAGGCAAGCGAAGAAAAGGAAGAAGAAAAAACAGAAACAGAAACAGTAGTTTATTTACAACAAAAGCGCAACATTTGCCTTGCACCCCAGGGTCGCTATCGTAATTCTCGTCGCAGCAGCAGCAACAGCAACAACAACAATAATAATATACAATAAAATTGTTGCTCGTCATAGTCCACAATTTTAGTTTGAATCGAGGTTTGGCCAATCAAGTAGGCAGGCAGGTAAGAGAAAGTGTCCATTTACGTCAGCTGATAGATAATACACGCAACTTGCCCCACAGAGAGAGAGACACACACACAAACACACACAGAGACAGGAGCAGCAACAATAGCAACAAAAGCAACATGCAACGCTGGCTATCCACCCATGAGTCAGAGGCTTGCGACGCCGACGCCATGGCAGCGCCCTCCACATGTCGGGCGGCTCCCGACGCCGGCAGCAGCAGTCGTCGCGTCTACGGCGACATAACCACCAATCGTCTATGGACCTTTCGAGTGCTAATGACCGACGACATATACCCCAATGAGCAGTTAGCCATTGTGGGCAGCTGCGAGGCGTTGGGCAACTGGCAGCACGGTGGAGCGGCCATAATGACCAGGGATGAGGAGAATGACGGCAATGTGTGGACGGCGGATGTGTGTATACCTCGGCATTGTTCGACAGAATATCGCTATATGGTCTGTGCTGTGGATCCGTCGACGGAGCAGCTGATGGTGAGACGTTGGGAGACGCATCTGAAGCCGCGACGCGTCCTGGAACTGGACGCACAGCCGCAAACGCTGCAGCAGTCTGAGGACACCTTTGGCTGCATCAATGGCGTCCAGAAGGTGGACCGCGGCTGGTTGACCAGCGAGTCGATGGTGCAGCTGAAATTCTTCAATGCACCCTTCACCTGGAAGCAGCGCATGAAACGGCGGCATGTCTTCGTGAAGGTGACGCCCATGAACTTGCGCATACCGAGCGCTGGCGGTGATTCAGCTAGCAATTGGGCTGGTCCCAATACGCCAGTATCGCCGCTGGAGGATTCGCTGTCCAACGATACGCACGACACACGCGAAAATGGCGCCGAGAACTCGACGGCCTTTGCCTTCTGCGAGGTGGTCACCTTGAGTGCGGAGGAGTGCGAGCTGAAGCCGCAGGAGCAGTTTGGCACGGCCTGTGGCTCCAACGATTTGGTTATCTTTCACCTGACGGTCAGTGATGTGGAGAACACTGCCTATTTGATTGATCTGTATGCGTATAGTTCGCGCGTCGCTATAGAGGATGGACCCCCGCTCCATCTGGGCTACCATTACGTGCTGCCCAATTTGTTTAAACGCTCCGAGGGTAATCTGGAGTTGCCCATTACTTGCGCCAAGGGCCACAGACCGCTTGGTATGATGCGTTTGGGTTACCTTATAGTGCGTCCCTCCTCGCTCTGTGCTCACATGGACATGCGAACCTCATATGCGCGCTACTGGAACAACAAATGGACGGGATTGGATGTGGGCCATCGCGGTTCGGGCACCAGTTTCAAAGCCAAGGATGCCGTTATACGAGAGAATACGATTACGTCGCTGAAAAATGCGGCAGAGCATGGTGCGGACATGGTCGAGTTTGATGTGCAGCTCAGCAAGGATCTGGTGCCGGTGGTCTACCACGATTTTATGATCTATGTATCGCTGAAATCCAAGTGCAGCATGCAGGAGCACGACTTTCTCGCCTTGCCCATGCGCGACCTTACTCTGGAGCAGTTGAAGAAGCTAAAGGTCTATCATACCGCTGAGGGTTTGTCGCGCGAGACTCGCTCCTTCCACAATGACGATCTGCTGGAGCATCAGCCGTTTCCACAGCTGGCCGATGTGCTGGATGCCATTGATGTGCATGTGGGCTTTAATATTGAAATCAAGTGGTCGCAACGATTGCAGGATGGTCGTATGGAGGAGGAATTCGAGCATGTTGTGGACCGCAATCTCTATATCGACTGCATCTTGGATGTGGTGCTGCGAAAAGCGGGCACGCGTCGTATTGTGTTCAGCTGCTTTGATCCTGACATTTGCACAATGTTGCGATTCAAGCAGAACCGCTATCCGGTCATGTTCCTATCACTGGGTCGTACCACCAAGTACGAGAAGTATTTGGACCCGCGTGGCAACACCATGGAGCTGGCGGTTGTGGCGGCCAGCGCCATGCAACTGTTAGGCATTGTGGCGCACACGGAGGACTTGCTGCGTGATCCCACCCAGGTAAATGATTCAAGAACAGCAAGGCTGCATCCCAAGTGGTTGCATTTGACTCTCACCTACGGATTCTTAGGTGAACCTGGCTAAGGAGCGCGGCCTCGTCCTTTTCTGCTGGGGCGATGAAAACAATTCCAAAGAAACTATCAAATTGCTTAAGGAATTGGGTCTACATGCTATCATCTATGACAAGATGGATGTACTCACTACCAAGGAAGTAAAGGTGAGTACCAGAGTACAGACGTCCATTTTGTGCCCTGTATGAATAAAATGATGGAACCTTTGGCATATAGTCTTGAATTAGAACCCTACAGTATTTATAAAATCTTGCACCTTGATAGTTCAGTTCAATAACAAAGAGAATAATTAACGGCGTACACTAAATCCAAGCCATAACAAAATAATACTATGTGTTGGGCTCAGAAAATATTTCAAAAATATTGAGTTTTATTCGAGTTTAAAAATTAGATTTACAAGTATTATCATCCTTAAAACTTTTGAAGAACTTCACACATGAATTATTTATTAGAAATATTTCTTGTTATTAAACAAGAGAGAACGCTACAGTCGAGCAAGCCCGACAGTGAAATACCCTGTATCCAGGTAAACTTCCGACATTAAGGTATATTCGCCCATAGCATCAGCAAAAAGAGGAAGAAGAAGAGCGAACTTGTTGCTGCAGTTTGGGGGGGTTGTACTGGCGAGAATTTGTTTCGCTAATAACTTTTCTTAGAATTGACCGAATTGAATAAAATTTGAACAGTAGATAATTATATATAAATTATGTGTGCAAAGTTTGATTTAGGTAGCATTTGAAATGTGGACGCTATTGACGAAATTCTGTAGCGGGGGAAGGGGGGAAAATTCCAAAAAATAAAATAAACTCGTCCTTTCTCGGGCATAGGAGAATCTGGGTACCAACTTTGGTTATTCTAGCTTCTATAGTTTCTGAGATCCTCGTGTTCATCCAGACGGACGGACAGACGGACGGACATGCGATTTCTCTCGTCATGCTGATTCAGAATATATATACTTTATGGGGTTGGAGATGCTTCCTTTTGCATGTTACATACTTTGCACAAACCTAATATACTTTTTTTACCCTACGGGTACAGGGTATAAAAACTTTAAAGTAGTTTTAAATTGTTAATTTCGTTTTTTTCGACTGGTAATCCAATAGTGGATTCTTGTTTTATAATTTGGAATAGAATTTAAATTCTTTATTATTTCAGCTTAGTTTAAATTCAAGAAATAATCAGCGTTTTACACTTGTTTTATTATTTGGAATAGAATTTAAATTCTTTATTATTTCAGCTTAGTTTAAATTCAAGAAATAATCAGCGTTTCGCACTATGGTCAGGCAAACCATTTGCATAAAATTCTGTTCAATTTTAGGAATCAATGTCAGGAATCTTTTGCTTCAATTAAGCTACTTTTTTTAAATTTCTCTTGAAAGGCTACTTTTAGTGTAAGACAAATATAGTATGCGTGCAAATTATTTGAATGTGTGAACATTTTCTTCGGTTTTACATAAAAGTCAGAGGAAAAGGTTTCCAAATAAAGTTTTTTGTAAATCTAATTTCTTTTAATATTACTATTGAAAAGCTACTCCAAAATAAAACAAATTTGAGTGCAAAATATTTGCATGTGTGAACGTTTCTTACATAATAGTCAGAAGCAAAGTTTTTCTTTGCCTAAAAATATAATACAGCTCAAATTATTACTTAATTTTATGATTCAAAATCGACCATTATAAAAAAGATGTCTCGCTTTTAACAAACACTAATTAGTCAATATCTTTTCATTTGTAACCGTATTGTTTACTTTTATTAATTGTAGTGCTTTCTTAGCTTAAAATTAAATTTGTTATTTAATAATTATTTCTCATTTAACGGCTATAGTTCGAAACTTTATAAAACTACATTGGAATTTCTTCAATTAATATTGAAATTAGTCAATAAGCGAACTATCGTATGAAAAATATTGGAAGTACTACTAAACCAGTTACAGCTATTAGCGCAATTCGCAAGTAAATAATAAATAATACTGGGCATTTGAAGAACGTATCGCTTGCTATACTAGAGCCCTCATTTGTTTTAATCGTTCCCACTTCTTTCCAACAGCAAAGCGTTTTCCTGCTTCAGGCCAAGGACAGCCAAAAGGAGTTGCTCAAATTGCAGGCTCTGGAAATGGGCCGAGTCTGGCATACATCGGACAACGAGGAACAGCAGAATTAACCAAAAAAAAAAAAAAAAGAAAGAAAGAAAGATGAACTATGCGGCAATGACGAGTCCTACTTCTACTTACAACCCATAGCCAAGTGACACCAAAAGCTATTGCGCTTTATTTTTAAACATTTACAAACAAATATACAATGCTACCTAGAGGACCTCTTCATATACACAATTATTATGATCAAATAGCAAATTGCATTTGTTTTTATAGCTTAATTGGAAACAGTACGAGTAATTTTAAGATATTTCGCTTAATCACAAAGATATGAAACTAAACTTGCGAAGTATTTCTATCATGCATCTTACTTTGTAACAATTGTGACACATTTTCTGTTCCCACGGTTTATACGTAGTTTATAAGGACGACGCTCTGTACTTCAAAGTTACGTTCCCAAACACAATTAGAGAGAAAAAGCGTTGCAATTTATATTTAACATACATATATACTCAAAATTGTTCTATAAAATAAAGCGATTTCTTTTGTCACATAACATTGAAAAAATGTATAAAAAAAATTGAACTATGTTTGGAAATGCAATGTGTATACTTATATCTAATGGTTTGTTTTATTTTCGTACTGGACTTTGGTCTTCACATGTGGACTATCGGTTGGTACTTATAATCCAATCATGTGTTGTAAAATGGGGTGTACGGTTAACTTATTCATGCAGAGTAAAGAAAATGGAAAAATTCTAATCATTTTCTTTAAAAACCTGGAAATTAATGCAGCATTTTTCCACAGATATACTCGTACTACAAGTACTTATATACAGAAATGTTTTTCACAATTTCAAGATTTTGAGAAGCAATTTACTTTGCTTCCTAGTTTTTTGCTCCTTATTGTAAATTAGGTCCTCGATTATAGGAAGGGGGTGTGTTTCCGTACATTATTTCCAAAGCAGCCCAACTTTATTTCATGATATTACAGTAAAAATTTCAAAACAACTAGGTTCCCGACTCTTGTAAGAATATTAATGTGTAATTTAGTTAATGAAACATCAGTAGTCGGTGCTTAAAAGATTCCACTAAGTCGTTAGTATGAGAGGCGCGGAGCAGGGCTGTGCTTTTAATTTGAATTTAATTAAGTGACTAGGCTAGTGCTTCGCATGAGAAGCGTGAAGCGTCAATTAAAAATTTGTTTAAGCGATTATAGAGAGCTAAAAATATAAATAATAACAAATATAATAACCAATCTTTCAAAGTCTAATTTTATTTTGTTTTAAAAGAAAAACTAGGCCTGAAGAAAGCTGTAGCTCAAATTTTTTAAATGACGACTAAAGTGCGATTTTTTATTATTTAGGATTTTCTTTTTATTAATAATTAGTTTAATTCCAGTAATAGCAATAGTCACCAATTTGTTAATAATTTGTTATATTTTATGCAAAAGTCACTAATATTTATAGTGATTAGAATTAACTGCTTTCTTGTGATTAAGGAACAGTTTAATGTTTTCAAACTGTACAATGCCTCCGCAACTGTAACGTGGCATGCTTCTCAAACTGTTCGAGCCCATCACTCATACGCAGCGTTGCATTGTGCGCTGAAACCGAAAAGTTGTGAGTAAGGCACAGTACAATGCTTCCGCAACTGTAATGCTTTCTCAAATTTTGTGAATCCATCACTCATACGCAGTGTTGCAAACCAAAATAAATGCACACACATATGTACACACCCCACATAAACGGCTAGACAACAACTTTGGGCGAATGTCAGCACAAAGGGGAATTGGAGAGCTGAGTGCAGGCGCCTGCGCCGCAAGCAACGGCGAGTAAGCAAGCAGCCAGCATTGATGGTGGACCAAAGAAATTCCTTCGGTGTTGTTTCAGTTTGTTAAATCGCATCGGACTGGTCGGAACTCGTGGAGAAAAGCAAAAACATTGGCGTCCCCCCAGCACGCAGCAAGCACACGAAAAATTAGAGACGGGGCACGCTAACGGCAAAAGTGTAGTGTAGAGCCTTAGTTGGTGTTTAGTTCCCCCTTTTTTATTTGGTTTTTCAGTTTCGGTATTATTTCAACTTACGGTTCGATAGCCACAGATAGAACACATAGAGCAGCGGATCAAAACTCATTTGCGAAGGCGGGCTATAATGTTCATTGGCAGCGCGCAAAAAATCTCACGCCAAACAAAAATAGGTGAGCAGCCTGGCAGGCATACAAAAAATGTGAACTTTGTTGTGCGTGTGTGGGTGTGTATGTGTGAAAAACAAACGGCAAGAGTATGTGTGAAAATTGAAAATTTTATAATTTGAGTTTTTATTTTAAAACAAGTGCATTGCAAAAAAAATATCAAGGAAGTGTGGCTACAAAAGCTGAAAAATCGATGCGTGCGCCTTTTGGCCTGCTGCTCCCTACACGTGTATATGTGTGTGCGTGTGTGAGTGAATTGTGAGCGTGTGTGCCAGTGTGTGTGTGTGTGTCATGTACACGCCACGCCAACGAGCAACTTCACACCACAACAAACAGTCACCCGCACTTACTACACGCTACTTACTACTACTTACAACACTCCTGACCTACTCCCACCAACTTTTCACAATATGGGCGACGAGTGTGTCCGTGTTTTTGTGTCTGTGTGTGTGTGTGTGTGTTTGAGTGCGAGTGCGTGTGTTTCAAAAAGGAAATTTTGGTATAAAAAGCAAACAAGTCTGCCAACACTTCAACACACACCAACCAAAAAAAAGAAAAAAAAAACGAAAATTGAAAACTCAATTTAAATAGCTAACAAAAAATATTTCCAGCAAGTTTTCAACTCTCATTAAATGTGCACAAAAAACACCCACGATGAAAGGGATACATACATATACATATCATCACATACTCGTACATACGATTAATATGCATGGTCTTTTAATATTTGATTACGTGGAAAAAAGCCAAGTGCCTCGTGTGGACAGACACACACGCACGCACACACTCATATACTTGTATAGTATAGTATATGTACGCCCAACGTCCGCTTGCAGGCCTACAATAAATTCCAAAAATTTATTTATAATAAAAAGCGCATGAATACTTATGAAGGCATCATAATAATAATAACAAATAGTCCCCGCCAGGCATCTACAATATGGTTCAATAGTGCACGAAAAATCCTTTGTGTGTGAGAGCACAAAAGTTTCTTTTCTGTTAAAGTAAACACTGCCGAAGGGATATAAAAAGGTGGACATATTAGAGATCATGAGTGATATTGAATAGGGAATTTTTGACAATATACTATTTGTACTATTTCACATAAAATTATTAGGGGTAGGCAGCGAAGATTTCGGATATTTCAAAGTACAGTTCCATCTTCTTTTTTGATTCTCGAATTGTAGAACTGGATTATGGAAAACGTTGCCTCATCCTCCAGCATAGTATAAATCTTAATCTTTCACAGCATACTCAAAGCTATTTTTTGAGTTCTTAAGTTGAATAACATATTGTAGAATAATTTTCGCAGAATCAAATATTTTTCTTTTACTACATCTAAGTAATGTTATTTTCAAGAACAAGTAACATTTGTTTAATATCACATACAAATTTATTTATTATAAAGGAAGCCGCGAAAAATGTATATCATATTATTAAATCTAATAAATGGTTCTATTATAGTTTGTGAAAATCGTAACCATTAAAAAAACCTAGATCCCTTATACTCGTAGCAGTTTCCGAATTTCTTAACCATGGATCAATCATAGACTGGTTTCCTTTTCATAAACTTCTTGTCATAACTATTTTAATATGGAATATATTTAGGTTATGTTTTGAACATATACATTTAAAAATGAACTCCAAGCCGCATTAAAATAGCGAGTTTTCACCATAAATGTTTAAATGCACTACAAAAAATGTAAATTTATTTTAAAATATGGGTAAATGGTAGAAAAAATGGCTATGGAAATTAATCAACGAAGCATTTCTTCCTTTCCTTGTTGCTTGTGAAGTTCTTCTTGAACCGATTGAGATAGTTTAAAGAGATATAGAAAAATTTATAAATAATGGGTAAATGGTATAAAAAATGGCTACGAAAAATAATCATTGAAGCATTCTACCATTCCTTGTTGTTTGTTTCGATATAGTTTTAAGATACATAGCAGAAGAATATATAATAGAATTGAATAGAATGGAATAGGCCTATAATAACAAAATATATTAATAGACAACATTCTCAGGAAGAGCTATTCTATACAATTGAAACTTGTCCCATGTTTTTAATTAGCTTTGGGCTTTAAAAGTATTGGGTTCGTTGGAATTTCGGTGGATATTTGTAGGTAGCACTTACTATCTAATATTAATCCGTATATTGTTTGGTAATCCATGGTGGCTAAAACATTTTCAATATTCCATTTGCTTGCAATATCTTCAAAAACCACACGATTTTTACACAAAACATCTTTATAATTTTGAATCAGATATAGCTCATATTATAGACACTTCCTTCTACATTGCTGCTACAAAAGGCAATTGACGCATTCCTTTCTTGTTGGTTTATAAAGGAGTTGTCTTAGGCAGTTTCCACTGTATGCATAAATGCTTTATATAGACAATTTAGTCATGCATGTATGAGTGCGTGCGTGTGCCTGTGTATGTGCCCCTTTGCAAGGGCTGTACGTTGGTGTGTGTATGTGTGTTAACATAATCATTAGCATTAATTGTAAGCCCAAGGCAGCCATGCCAGGCCGTATCATTAAGGCCTGCCATTGCCAACGACAATGGGTCACAAAAGTTATGTGTGTGTTGTATATGGGAGTATGTTCGAGTGTGTGCTTGTGTGTGTGTGTGTGCGTGTTCTGTACGCATACTCGATGCCACACACAAACCACAAGAGCAACAAAAGCAACAGCAACAACAAAAAACAACAGAAATAATCAACCATAGGCAGCTAATGTTTTTAGATTCTCGCAAGCTCTGTGCAATTTGCTGCCCCAACCCACAACGCATTTGTTTGTTTGTTTTGTTTATAAATCTCATGTTTTTCATTTTTATTGCGTTGATTTGCCGGGCCCGGCGTATTGTGGTGAACACTTTGTCGAGCGCTACAAATAAACGGGAAAAGTATAACACATCGGCAGAAAATCGACAGAAGGCGGCCATACAAATAACTACACTGGACGCATTCGAACTTGGACAGATACAGATATACACAGATACACACACACACACATTCACACACTTCACCCTGTTGCTTATTTGCCTTATATAAGTATGTATGTATGTAAAAAGTATATATTGGAGCATGTATTGACGTTGCGCTCGTGTGAGCGGCAAGTAAACATTTGGCCAGCCTGAAAATTAAATATTGTTTAAGAACAAATAATTGCGCTTTTCGCCCAAATCGCCTCGATTTTTCGCACTTTTTATTTTTATTTTAAATGGGTGTTTCTTTTTCTAAACCTCCCACTTTTTTCTTTTTTTGCTGATCTAGCCAATTTTAATGACGGCATGGTTTTTAATGTTTTGTACAACAATATGCAACAAATATTTGTATTTTTTTTTTTAATTTTTGTCTAGTCATTGGACAAATAACATTTTTCTAATGCCTTTCACGAGCTGTTTATGGGCTTGCTCTTCAATTGAACTCATTACGATATTCTAGTATTTCTTCTCTCCAAGTCTTATTGCATTCCTGTTTATTGTTTTTGGTCTAAGCGGCATAAAAACATCCCCAGCCACACCAAAAATTGCGATGCTTTTCTAATAATTTATCAGAATATGCATTGAGTCAGCAATGAGGTAAGTGTGTGGTGGCTAACATAATAGATTTCGGAAATGTGTAGCAGACTAGAGTTGAGTGTTTTATATGCTCTTAAGGGAAGAACTTGCAGTGATTCATATGAATTATGCATGTTTAGATACATTTTCAAGAGAATGTGTGGAGCATTCATTTAAATGTGAATTCTCCGTGAAGCAGAACAACAACTAAAACATTTGAATAATACCAATACAAAGCAATACAATATGAGAATAGCGTAGGGCTTGTAAAAACATGCTGTGAAGATTTTTTTATAAATTACCAGAATACTCGGATGCATTGATTGTTTGGCTAACGCGATAGATGCCGGATATGTAGATCACAGTTAAGTGTTTCTTACTTTTTTGGAAAGAACTGACAATGGTTCATAAGAATTATGCGTTCAATTGCCTTCACTATTCTCGTTGGGAATTTTCCTAATCTTATTTCTATTTGAAGGACGAAGATTACGCAATTCGGAAATATAGCGCAAGGATTACGAATGATTTATCTTTCAAAATGAAAACAAACAAAAGAAATTAACAAGGTTAAAGAAATATTTAAACACAACGATTTAAATGATTTAAAAGATACCCATGTTGGCATTAAAATATCGGAAAAGTACTTCGAATTAGCATTAACCACAGCAGGTACCGCCTTCAACAGCGATTCTGACAAACAAGTGGAAAGAATTTAAAGAATTTTAAGAAAGAATTATGCAAACTAATTCAAAGTTCAAGAATCAAATTTAAGATTTTACGAGCTTTGTAATTACACAAATAATTAGGTGAATAGCGGCTTCGAATGGATCAAGCTGAGGGAAAGTATATTAAGCATTTGTACAATTCAAAACACTTCGATATATCTATAAAAAAAAATATATTTACATAAAGAAAAGATTTAAGATTTAAAAGATAATGAAAATAAATAGCAATTAGACAACAATCTAATGAGTATGTTCAAATAATGACTTGTGTATTAAAAGAATTGAAGAATAACAAATAAATTGGTAAAACACATATAACCATATTGTTTTTATATCCTTTTTAGTTTACTTCTGGCTAGCTAACCAAACACTATATAGTATACAAACATATATAGCATGGTGCCCACACACAAATATATTAAACTAGCAACAGCTCACCTATTCATTCTATGGTTTAGCGAAAAAGTTACGACTATCAACATTTTTAGTGCAGTTTGCTGCAAAGTCATTTCTTTAATGCCACAAGAAGCGGAAGTGATAAAAGTTGTCTGCGAGCAAAATATCCAATTCATACGGTCATATACTATATGTATTTATATAGCATTGTGTATAAATATATATTTATGAATATACAACACATTTAGATAAAAGAGCGGAATTTACTTGTCAGTTTAGAGTTCAGTAAATCTGTATATTTTATAGATAAGGACAGTGGAATGTTATGAATTAGTTTATGAAAGAATATTTATTAAAGAATATATATGAAAGAATATAAATGAAAGAATATCCTGGGAAATGGAGCGAAAACTTGAAACATTACAGAAATCTAAGAAGATTTGTATTTTATAATAATGGATAGTCCTTCCAGCGTTTTTTTAAATTATGTCGCCAATTATTGTTTCTAAACTATTTCTAAGCTATCAATACTTGATTGATTTATGATTGTACGTACCAGATGGCGACACTATTTGATTTATCAGCATCTGCTCGATATAATTGAAAGTGTGAAGAATCACCAGCCACCTGCAATGAAATAAAAAATATATTTAAAGTTTTTGTGCTTTAAAATGTTGAAATACTATTGATATATATAATTTTTTCCAGCGCAATGTTGATCCACGACGTCCAAGCCTAGTGAGTAGTAAAAACGTATGATCCCTTATGGTTCCCTCAGCATCCTAAAGTATGTAAACCAAAATTTTAAGTGCGTATGCGGTAGCTAAAGAAAACGGAGCGTCCAATTGACGGCGAAGACGACGACGAGGACGACGTCTGACGTAAGGGAGGCGTGTGGGAGAAGGCGATTGTGTGTGTGAGTGTGTGTTTGTGTGTGTGCCTCAGAACGGGGCACGCAACAGCAACCAAAATCGTGGGCAAGGATAACGAAAAACATACAGGTTTGCGGCAACCAAACAGCTACAAAGCTGCTTAGCACATTAGAACACTGTAGACATAAACAAACAAAATAAAAACAACTACAACAACAACAACATACAACGACAGCATACATCGAAAACAACAACAACAACAAAAACTTGCATCCAAAAACAACACCCTATAAAAATATACTCTGCTATGACTTATATACCTAAGAAAATGCAACATTATACGCATGCAGCCATGAATCTGATCAACATGGACTCGGAGAATCGCGTAGTGCTGAACGTGGGCGGGATAAGGCATGAGACATATAAGGCCACATTGAAGAAAATACCAGCGACGCGCCTATCGCGTCTCACCGAAGCGCTGGCCAACTATGATCCCATATTGAATGAATACTTCTTCGATCGGCATCCGGGCGTATTTGCGCAAGTGCTCAACTATTACAGGTCTGTTATAAATATATACCTTTCTTTAAACATCAATTACAGACATTTATATCTCTTCACAGAACGGGCAAACTGCACTATCCTACAGATGTGTGTGGTCCGCTGTTCGAGGAGGAATTGGAATTTTGGGGTCTAGACTCAAATCAGGTAGAGCCCTGTTGTTGGATGACATATACACAGCATCGAGACACACAGGAAACTTTAGCCGTACTCGATCGTTTGGATCTCGATACGGAAAAACCGTCCGAAGAGGAATTGGCGCGCAAATTTGGATTTGAAGAGGATTATTATAAGGGCACCATCTCGTGGTGGCAGGAAATGAAACCGCGCATTTGGTCACTATTCGATGAGCCTTACAGTTCCAATGCTGCCAAGGTGAGCTCGATAATTAGATCACTTGATGATCGTTCTTGACTGACTTGACTCTTCTCTTTTTTTATTTACAGACAATTGGCGTTGTTTCGGTATTCTTTATATGCATTTCGATTTTATCCTTCTGCCTCAAAACACATCCGGATATGCGTGTCCCCATAGTACGAAATACAACGGTTCGCACGGCCAACGGCAGCTATGCCTGGTTTCTGGACAAAACACAGACCAATGCGCACATTGCTTTCTTCTATATAGAATGCGTTTGCAATGCCTGGTTTACATTTGAGATATTGGTAAGACTACTATGTAACTTCAAAAGATCTTCAATCGCAATTGGCAATTTGAGTTACTTGGTAGAAATATTAGTTGTTCCGTTTGTTATGGAAATGATAATTGATGCGTCGAATCGGAAAAAAAATCGTACAACCTTGAAGATTTTTCAATAATTCAACATAGTTTTAACTCTGAATATTTAAAATTGTGAAAAGTCGGCGCTCCTGTGCTAGTATTTCCATTTGTTATGAAAATGATTTAGTTACGAGAAATTAGTAAAAAGTGCTTGGCATCTTAAAGATCCTTTCAAGATCTTGTGAAATTTAAGTAACTCTATTTAGTTTCAAAAATATCTTAGACCAGCTAGCTTCAATTTTCAATATACCATATTTAGTTTCGAAAATACTTTAGTCCAGCTAGCTTTAATTTGCAAAATGGTGAATTTTAGGTACTTTGGAAAGCGAGCGATTTTGAATGGGTATAGGCTTAAACTTTTCAAATTCTTCAGCATATTTGGTAATCGCCAAATATTAAAAAAGAACATTCCGTATATTTCACAGAGTCGGTATTAAATTCCACAAATTCTGAATGGAACCCAACTTGCAAAATACTTTTCTAGGTCAGAGAATCCCATGGAATAATAGAGAATGCCTTAAAAACCCTCTGTTGTTGGATTTTATAAATTGATCAAGGAATTGAAATCCCATTTAATTCGAATCCTCAATATATAGTATTATAAATAGTCGTAGTAGAAAACAACTTCATATCCAAAGATAAAATAATATATCTTATTTGATATTAGATAGATATACAAGTAATTGAACTTATGAAATCAAATTCTATTCCAATCTTTCAAAAAAACAAAGAATCTTCATAGAAAAGAGATTGAACTAATATGGGATATGGCATATCTTTTAAATCACTGAACTAAATGTGCCGTAATATTAATTGAAATTTTCAATATATTTCACAGGTACGCTTTATCTCGTCGCCAAACAAATGTGAATTCATAAAGTCATCTGTTAACATCATAGATTATATAGCAACGCTTAGTTTTTATATCGATCTTGTGCTTCAGCGATTCGCATCGCACTTGGAGAACGCTGATATACTCGAGTTCTTCTCGATCATACGCATTATGCGTTTGTTTAAGCTGACACGCCATTCGTCCGGCCTTAAAATACTGATACAAACGTTCCGTGCCTCGGCCAAAGAGCTAACACTGTTGGTATTCTTCCTTGTGCTGGGCATTGTTATATTTGCCAGTCTGGTGTATTATGCCGAGCGCATACAACCGAATCCGCACAACGATTTCAATAGCATACCATTGGGCCTATGGTGGGCTCTGGTCACCATGACCACTGTGGGGTATGGCGATATGGCGCCAAAGACCTACATCGGCATGTTTGTGGGCGCACTCTGTGCGCTCGCCGGTGTGCTAACCATTGCACTGCCAGTGCCCGTTATTGTCAGCAACTTCGCCATGTATTATTCGCATACGCAGGCACGTGCGAAACTGCCAAAGAAGCGTAGACGAGTGCTTCCCGTGGAACAGCCGCGACAGGCCCGTTTGCCAGGTGAGCGTACGTACTCCAAGCTAATGCAATTCAAAGAAGTATGGTTGTTTTTATGGCCTCTCTCTCTCTCTCTCTCTCTCTCTCTCTCTTAACAATTTCTTGCAGGCGCACCCGGTGGGGTAAGCGGCTGTGGCACGCCCGGTTCGGGTCCACATTCGGGTCCCATGGGTTCTGGTGGCACTGGACCGCGTCGCATGAACAATAAAACTAAGGATTTGGTCAGTCCGAAATCAGGTGAGTCTTTGCGTGCGCATTTCCCCATTTTGTTTATATATGTCTTCACGCAATAAACAAGAATCAAAAGAAAAAAAGAAAAAAAAAACAAAGAAGCCACACCAAGCACAGACTGTGCTGTTCCAAAAGCAAATCAAATAATATATAATAGTTACTTAGCTAAAATAGGCACGCCAACACTAAAACAACGCCTATTTAGCAGCTGAACTTAAGGCAACGTAACGTTCCTAACCATAAGCGCACCAGTGCTCCAAAATTGGTTCCACATAAAACCTAACCTCAAAACACTCGCAAATTCAAGTGCCACGCTTGCACAGCTGCACAGAGTTCCAGATATAGCGTAACAATATATCTCCGATATCAGACCAATTGACCATTTATTTATTGTTGTGCCCGTTCAGCATACTAGGCCCTCAATCGGAATTTTGGCGATTTATCCAAAAAAAAAATTGTTGCTATGGCTATCAAGTATTCTATATACATATACCCTGTTGCATTTGGGTGCGCTCCATACATATGTTGTGTATATATGTACTCTATGTAATTAAATGTAAAGGCTTTACTATTAAATGCATTATCATCCAGTGCCTATTTCAAATCATTTCATACTCCAGCTTAACTTTCATTTTATGCTGCTCATCTGAAGGGTTGATCGGAAAGGGTTTACCAAGACTAATATAGATTCGAGTTTGAAGATCTTTATGATCTGAAGCAGAGCTGCTCAGATTCAGAATATGTCAGTCGGAATATGTTAGTGGAGTACAGATCTCTTATTTCATTTGTACATACTATGTATATAGTACTAGATTTTAACAGCCCGCCGATCGCTCACCATATTTCATTCTTTCTCTATGCTTCAGTCCTATGCATCAAAACCTCATGGAAGAGAGCAGCATTTTGTAAATTCATTGCCATAAGCTTCCAGTTAGGGTTTTTCTTTCTCCATCTCTTCTTCTTCTTCTTCATTTTTATTATACATACATATGTCCAACTATCGCATATATATAGCATAATCGACAATTATTACAAAGGAATATGAAACTCTATGCGTAAATATTTATGCATTACAATTGCTACATTTTAAGTTTTATTCAATATTTATTATAATTTTTTTGTTTATAATACCAATACAAACCCAAACAATTTTATGTAAATAGATGAATATACAACAATGATTGGCAAACCACGCGATGGCAAAAAGAGCAGGCTGCTTTAAGTATTAGAACAACAACCACAACAACATGAACATCAAGAACAAACAAAATCGAACCACATCGCACCAAAATCGAGCAACAACAAGAACAACAACTGCCTGGCTGGCACATAAGAATATTAAAAGAAGCATGCAGATGAGGCATATCTACAAGTATAAAGCATATCTTTGAATCACAACCCTTTTCCATTTCTGGATCACCCATAAAAAGCCAGAGCTAAACAATCACAGCTAAAGACGATTTATAGAAACAGAATCAAAATTGAAGATGCACTCAAATGGGAAGAGAAACTTGAAGGATAACTACTGGATAACGTATTGCCCATCTACCAACCTGAATGTGGTACGTTGGATTCTAATGGATTCTATGATTAAACGTGCCATCTCTCTGGCGGCGTCTGCTAAAACTACTACTACTGCTGCTACAACTTGCTACTATATATTCGTATATACTCGTATATATAACTACATATGTAATTTTCTACGTGTTTTCTTCTATATACATATACATATATATTGATATTGATATTGCGTACCGTATTCTCGCTCGTTCGTTCGTTCCATAGAATCTACTATATTTATGAATATTCCTATACATATATATACTTACATACAAATATTTCTCTCTATCTATATGTGTGCGTGTGTGTAATTACTATATTTTGTTGTTGGATACTCTGCTCTTCTCTCTATATTGAAGTGATCGTTACAGTATTGAAAGAAGCAATAAATACTATATATATACATGTATATTTTTAATCTACCATATAGTTGAAACATTTTTCAAAACTATGTATTATCTTGAACTCTTGTATTTCAGATATGGCCTTCAGTTTCGACTAAGAAATACAAGTTTTTCTAATTTGTATTCGAAACAAATCCAATCCAATCAAATCAAATCAAAAACAAAACTGAAACTAACAATGCAAATCGAATCAAACACAGTTCAAAAATGCAAGCGCACCAAAAAGACAGAAAACATAACTCAACTACAACAACAACTCAAAATCAAAATCAAAATCGAAACGCAAAACTCAGTTAAAGTAATGTAAATGTAAACGTTAACTAATATTAATTCGCTCGCAACAAAAACAATTCTCATCTCTCATGCCCAGTCCAAACAGAAACCAAACAAACAAAAAGTACACCATAAATACTATATTAGAGGCAATTTCGGCACGGATTTAAGCCGGGCGGGTGTGTTGGTTTATATATGCTTTTAATATAATACATACAGTATATTGTTACCTCCTAAGTCTTGCCTAAAACCCCTCTATGTAGTCTAGGTGTTGACACCAACTATATGGCATCTCGATTTCTACTAGTTTGTAGACACTCCACTCAAGCAACCACAAACCTTCACACTTCACGGTACTTTTCCTCCCCCTTCTTTTAATGTTAGCAGCGAATTGTCTATTTGTCCACTCTCGCTATCTCAAAGAATCCCACTTCCACGCCCACAAGAGTACTCGTACAAACAAACGCTATAGTCGGCATGCGGTCGACTCTGAAATACCCTATGCCCAAAAAAAGAAAACATCAACCATACATATCTCATTGAAGAACAACAATACGATTAAATAATAATTATGATCAGCTTCTTAAACTGTCTAATTAATCTAACTAATATTAACTTGAGTGAGCTATTAGTCAGAAAAATAACTATTTGTAGGAGCTATAATTCTATAATTCATCCTTCACACTGACAAATAGAGAAATCCAGAACATCCTATTGAGAAACTAAAATGAATATGGGTTTTGCTAAGGCCATGGTCAGACGGATAAATAGTTAAATTTATTGAGTGATTTAAATAGTTTTTCCATTAAAAGCAATTATATTAACAATAATAATAATGGGATAAGCTTTTCCACGCCTCACTTGTAAAAATGTATGCCGGAACATACCATGAGTTGTCTACGTACTAAGCATATTATACTAAAATTCAACACACTTTACGAGCACAGGCGTGAAAAGTTTGAAAGCTATAGCTTTTGAAGTTTAGAAGATCCAAGCGTTCATACAGTCGAACACTAGAAAGACAGAAGAAGCTGCAGTTATTGTCCTGCTCAAAAGGAAGATGCTTTTTACGTAAGCAAGCATATGCCTAAAAAGTTTGGAGGCTATAGCTTTTGTATTTTCGAAAATTACGGCGTTCAGACAGTCAAACAGAAGAGAGATAAACGATCTTTAGGGAATACAGGAAACAAATTTAGAGGCTTCTAAAATTTATGAAAACTTTCGTAGATTCCGTTTTTGTACAGTCCCAAGAGTTGTGTGTTCCTTACAGGGTACAGGGTAAATCGTGAATAATCATCCAAACAACCAAGTAGAACCTAGTCTTATTGCATGCTGCATGTTGCAACTGTTGCGTCCAGCAAGGATGCTTATACCGTTAAGTATTGCTTGACCCACACAGACCACTTAAGTGTCGTTTGTATGTGAGTGTGTGTGTGTAGAACCTTAATACTGTTGTATATATACAAATACTTACCCGCTTAGATATAAATGTGTATGTGTATGCGTATGTTAGGTCTAAGTGTTATGCCTTGTGTGTTCGTGCGTGAGTTTGTGCGTGAGTTCCACCCAGTAACTAGTAGAACGTACACCCACCATAACAAAAACAAAAATCAAAAATATAGCTGCCAAAATTTAACTAGCGTTGTGTCTTCCTCGAACACATATCGAATTTGAAATCTACAAAAGCCAAATAATTTGGTTGCGATTTCTTTACTTAACTAAAAGTTTAATTAAACGCTCTTTTTCTTCTCTCTCCTCTTTCTCCCTTCCGCTGTCTCGCTCTATGCAAACTACTACTCTACTACCACTATTTCTTCAACTACCACTACTACACGACCTGCCTAAAACAAAATAGTTGCTCAACTCTTCACAGGTCCCTTGGGAGCCAGCATTGTTGCCATGAGTCCGCGCACTATGTTAGATCTGAATCCAGCATTGGCCATGGGTAAGCCAACATTTCAGCCCAGATTTCCCACGCAATTGGCTGCCACACCACCACCACCACCACCACCATCGTCATCACTGACAGCAGCAGCAACAACAACAATTGCAACAGCTGCGACCACAACAACAACAGTTGCAGCTGCAACAACCACAGCGGCCATCACGTTGCCCAGCATAGCTGTCTCAACAACCGCCAGCTTGAGCAAGGATAAGGAGATAACCACCACAACAACAACTAGCACCGCCCTGGAGGCCAACAAGAAGGCATTTCTCTAAGGCCCCGCATTCTCACACAGTCTCAAAAACAAAAGAAACCCCATCAAGCAATATTAACTAAAACTACTTTATCATATACCTATATATTTACATATACACATACTAGATAGATAGCCTCTGCATATATACATACATACGTATCACGCCTCCTTGCGCAATTCCTAGAATTCTCATGTTTCGAACCATATCATAACATACCTATCAGCCACACACACACATACATACATACGAGTATAGTATCTACAAGTACATAACTCTAGCTATATAAGAAGGGGCATTATAACTACATTTGTACTCAAAAATGCATAAGCTACTTTGACATTTTACAGACACGTTTTGATAGACAGTAATTGGAGAAAGATTTTGTAACCACCAACATAGAGACTACAGCGCTATTTTTGTCAATTTTATTTTTAGTTTTTACTAAAATTTAATTGCTTATCGATTGAAGCATATCAATTGCGTGTAGAAACGATTTTTAGTTTACAATCATAATAGCACCAAACTGCTAGTTATTGGGTGCTTCAAACAGTTTCTGCCGCATTTTCCGACAATACATTGAAGGACCAAATTTTATTAGAGTGATAGTTTGAAAAAGAAAACCTTTGAAAATCTAAATAATACTTTGAAGAAGTTTGAAAAACAAAACCTTTGAAAATCTAAATAATACGTTGAAGAAGTATTAACGTTTTTGTCTTTTCACTTTCATTCGAGTAAATTCATATCTTAGCTATATCGATTCATGCGCTCCTATATTCTACAGCTATTGAGCTTTTTAATTAAAATGAAGCCATTCGGAGCTTAAAAAACAAGCCTTACTTAATATCTTAGCTATATCAATTCAAGAACTTTGCGCTCCTATATTCTACAGCTATTGAGCTTTTTAATTAAAATGAATCCATTCGAAACTTGAAAAACATTTTCGATATAATTTTTGGTCCACACCTATGTCAGATATTTGCTTGACTGTAAAATATTTCCAATTATAAAATTTGGGTGTATATGGCGAGTATATTTCAAGTATATATATCCTTGTAAATTTCTTTCCTAGTGGCAGGCCAAAGAATAATTTAGAAGCTATATGTATGTAAGAGATATGCTGTTTGTTTTTTTTAATTTACCCATATTTTAAAAAAGAAAAACACCGAATGTTCCTGATTATGAACTAAGAAGTTTTCTTAGCAGTTACCAGTGGAGTTAAAATTTAAAAAAATTAATTAATTTTCAAAAAAGTGAAACGGTCAATGTTTCCTAATAGCGTGTCCTGATCGGATGTGCTAAAATAAAATTGAATTTTCTTAAATAAGAGCATACTTATAGGATTTGGCTCACGGTACTTGATACAAAGTACTTCCATATCAAGTACAGTAAATTGTAAACGAAAACAGGAACAGAGCTGATCCTATTAGGCAACTAATTTGAAGGGCCTTTATGTTATTGGCTAGAAGATTAAATATTAATAATTTGGAAACTGAACACATACGAGTAAGTCGCCTGTAATGCTCCATAAAAATATATTCTATAAATCAGTCTCCAAAATACAAATTCACATTCAAAGACTCTATGAATTGTAATTTAGACTATCTTTGCGGTTTGTTTCTTGGCTCTACAAATTAAATTCAACTTAAATTTAAATTTGCAGATTAGAAAAGCTGTCTTGGTGAGCCTTCTTTAAGTATTTTAAAAACTGTAAAAGGTATCTCATTTATTCAGTGGCTATAGGCCGACTTAAGAGCTACTATAGCGTAGCGTTGAAAAGGGCAGAAACTTTTGAAGTAACCCATGCTAGCACACATAAACACAGACATACTCACACACACATACACACACACACACACACATATGTACATACTAACAGCTACAGTTTTAGGCTATTTTTAATTCGGTTCGCCAGTTCCTTATGCGTTGTGCGACTGTCTTCAGCAGTTGCGTTTGAAAGCTTTAGTTCCATGCTGCATATGCTCGTACTACATAGAAATACTATACATACTTACGTATTGAAAACTCGTTGTGAAATCTGATCTCTGTTTATATACGTTTATTGAAACTCTTAAGTCTAACAATTGGTTAAACAAAATTACAAACAGTTAGTTCATCAAGCCGCAGGTCCTAGACCGTAACGGCTTTAAATGCATGCGAACGAATGCACGTTACTGGAAACCGTAAACTCGCTTTTGGGCATGTGTTAACTTTTTAACTCGAGGAAAACAAATACCTGTCTAACGCTTCAACTTTGGCTAAAACTTTTCCAAAGTTTTCACAAACAAATAAGCAGAAATTTGCGCCACTTTACAAAAAGTCAAGTATACGTAAAGTGTGCAAAATGCTTCACACACACACACACACACACAATCACATCCAAAAGTTATATACAAATTAGCAACAAAAAAAGCCTCAATTATTTTTAAACCTGAGAACGACAGCAACAACAACAACAACATCAACAATTTTTACATATCAAGCCAGCAAGTCGCGCAAAGTTACTTTCTTTTTCTTGCGGGGGGTTGGGGAACGGGGGGAGTCACTCAATTCAGTTTCAGTTGAAGCCTCAGCACAAATCCCAGCCACATTTTGCTTTAAACGAGTTGTAATTTAAATGTTAAATTGTTTACTAACGTAGAAGGGTCGCTGGGGGAATGTTAGGGCTGGGGGCGGGTGTTGGGCAAAACAAACAAACCATCCGCAATTGAAGCAAAACATGTTGGGGGCAGGGGCTGCCACACATATATGTAATAACTCGAGTATATATATATTTGCTAAAAGGGCCAACAACAAAACGCAAAACATAAAAAAACAAGCAACTCGCAGCCAGGCAGATAACAAATTGGTTTGAGCATAAACACATATATACTATAGGAACATACATACATACATACAAACGTACACAAATATGATGTTGTATTAACATGCAGCTAAACAAACAAACAAACAAACGAACATAATTTTCTTTTGAAATCATTAGGTAAAGTTCTCTTGTACATTTTAAATATCTCAAAAGCTAACAAAGCAAATGCATAACACATATTTATATATACATATATATTGTACTTATACATAATAATTTCTAAGGTAAAAAACCAAAACAAATATTCTAACGCTTTGCAATAAAAATAAACAAACAAACAAACATACAAACAAACAGACAAACAACGTTTGCAAAACATTTGTTAAGTTTTTACAATGAATGAGAAGCATTAATAATAATTAAATTTAAATTTAAAATTATGCAAGCAGCAGCCGCAATAAATCAATAATAAATAAATAAAACAAACTTGTTTTTATCATTTTTATTTGTTTATATTTTTTAATATCTAAAACAAACTGATTTTTAATTGTATAGTTAAGCAAATTGTATACTATTTGACTAAACTGTTCTCTCAATAATTCATGAACAAAATAAATTAATTATATGAAAAGTATATAAATCGAATACAATAAACAAATCTATTGAACACCAATCCTTTGTGGTTTTATAACAAAAAATTGGGTATCATTTAAATTATAATATATCTTTGTATTGCATGTCTCTAATCGTTCTTACAACGCCATGCTGACATCAATGCGACTGCGAGCAGAACATGTTGAAAAGTTTCCAAAATATTGGAAAGAAATACACAGAACAAAACTTATATATAATATGACCCTGAAATCGGGCGGGTGTTTCTATAGGGATATTTCGATTTCTATAATGATTCAACAAACAAGTTCGTCTTCCTTAATACAAGAATTAAGATTAGAATTTCTGCAGCCGAAAAGTTAAGCGTATTGTAAAGGGCTTTCTATAAATAGGCTATTTCAAAAACATGTCTTGTATTTGGCGATAAAATAGCTTTCAAAAGTTATAATGGAAGATATAATAAATTGTATTTGTTCACATTAGTATATTTTTTAGACCACCCCGTTTCACAAAATAATGAACATTTGGCACTTATTGTTTAAGAACGATCAATCCTTTAAAAAATTAACTTCTAAGGCGTTTAATGTCTACGTCCTTGGCTGGGAAGTCAATATCGCCGTTAATTAATTTGCAATCCTTGCAAGCCTCTTTGAATTCTTTGACTGCAAAAACTACTTGTATTCATCAAAGGCTAGATGCTATATCTCGCATAGTGTACAAACAATACAAGTAGTTAAGGTAATGAACAAATCAACCAAATTAATTTCAAATGTCTGCCCTGAGGGCTTGTCACAATACACAATACTGTGGCACACAGGGTCTTTTGTTGTAATTATAATTAAAGTATTTTGATCATAACCAGCTATAATTTAAACAAAGGCCTTCTGGAGCTGCACAAAGTCTATGGGGAATCGTAAACCGAATAAGTGTTGGAATTCCGGCTGTGTGCTGGCTTATAAAGTGCAAAGCAGAGCAAATGAGCAATTCTGAAAGCAATTGCAGACAGGCAGCAAACCAACTCAGACCACCCGGAGGAGAAATATTTTCTAAAACAGTTACAGTCGTTCCCACAGCTCTTAAGTAGAATGTGCCTAAGTGCGTTTACCCTTGAGCATAGTATTTGCCATTTGCTTTCTTCCTTCATTAAATTTTTTTGTTGCTTGCCACTGCCAGCAGCTATTGGACAATAAACTGCTTCATTAAGGAGCCCTTTCGTTTAGGTTGTAAAATCAGCCAACAACAACAAACCCCACCCGCAATCATCCACACCGGCACCATTTCACCAGCGGCAAGGCAAACGAAACCAGTCATTCAGTCAGTCAGTTAGTCAGTCAGGCAACCAGTATGTGAGTGTGTGTGTGTGTGTGTGTGTGTGTGTGGGGCAATGGCAACAACACACTAATAACAAAATTCCAACGTTTAGGTTCGACACATACTTACAAGCATGCTCCATACTCGTATCATATAGTCATGCTCATGGCTTTTGAACATGGCCTGCACTGCTGTAAATGCGCCCAAAGGCATTCAATCAACAGTTGGCCGACAAGGTGGCAGCAACAGTGCTTGCCACAATCAGAAACCTCACCCACACACCCAAACACACCCAGGCACACACACATACTCGTATAGAGCAACAATTTAGTAGAAAAGCGAGCGATTGAGCGAGCTAGCGATGGGTTCAGTTCAAAACTAATAATGCATGAAATTTCAATTACAGTCAAAAATCATAAGCTTCAAGCCTATATATATGGTATTGCCAAAGCTCTGCGGCTGACTGCAAAGCCCCACAGTCTTAGCCAGCCTTGCCACCTCCTCTGCATCATCATCTTCAACATCTTTCTCTTTGGCATACCAGCCAAAAACAAAAAGCGTTTGCGAGTAATGCCGGAGCAAGTGAAGTGCGTGCGGCAACTCTAACAAAAAAAAAAGAAGAAGAAAAAACAAACACTATGCGAAAGACAACTGAGACATGGACGGACAAACAGACAGATGGACAGGCAACCGTTAGCTGCGCAGCAACATTTCGAGCGCTGAGCAGAGCACATTTCCAGTTTCAGTTCACCAGAGTTGGCTTTTCTTTTTCGTCTATGCGCGGTGAGAGTCTGCTTGTTGTTTGTTGTTGTCTGGAAAAAGTTGCTGCTGGCTGTTAAAAATGCGAGAGAGTGCCACTCTCGCGCTCTGCAAACGAGCAAGTGAGTGTTTTACGTCGTATACCCTTTAGTGAAATGTGTAAGGGTATATTGTTGCTTAACTGTAGGTTTGTAACGGCCAGATCTCATGTTAAATGATCAGACGAATCTAAACGGACAGGTCTCTCTCTTCATAAAGAGCTTTTGCATATAAAACTGTTTGAAAACAAAACTCAGACCTTAGAGAGATTCAATCTAAAAACAAGTCTTTGTGCTCTTCGAAAAACACAGATGTTGCCAATTGGAAAGTTTTGTTTTCTAAATTTTATTTGAACTTGAAATTTATAAAATATATCTTAAAATCAGAAATTCTTTTTTCCAAGTACACTGTTTGAAAACGAAACTCAGACCTTAGAGAGATTCAATCTGAAAACAAGTCTTTGTGCTCTTCGAAAAACACAGATGTTACCAATTAGAAAGTTTTGTTTTCTAAATTTTATTTGAACTTGAAATTTATAAAATATATCTTAAAATCAGAAATTCTTTTTTCCAAGTACACTGTTTGAAAACAAAACTCAGACCTTAGAGAGATTCAATCTAAAAACAAGTCTTTGTGCTCTTCGAAAAACACAGATGTTGCCAATTGGAAAGTTTTGTTTTCTAAATTTTATTTGAACTTGAAATTTATAAAATATATCTTAAAATCAGAAATTCTTTTTTCCAAGTACACTGTTTGAAAACAAAACTCAGACCTTAGAGAGATTCAATCTAAAAACAAGTCTTTGTGCTCTTCGAAAAACACAGATGTTACCAATCAGAAAGTTTTGTTTTATAAATTTTAATTGGACTTGAAATTTGTAAAATATTTCTTAAAATCAGAAATGTACTTTTCCAAGTACACTGTTTGAAAACAAAACTCAGACCTTAGAGAGATTCAATCTAATAACAAGTCTTTGTAATTTCGAAAAAAAAACACAGTGCTACCATTCAGAAGGTTTTGTTCTGCAGACAAGTCCTAATTTTAATAATATCAATAGGACTTTGCTCTGGAAATTTTACAAATATTTCTTACAAGTAAAATTCAAGCAAAAAGAAAACCGACTAAGGATCTAATAAAGTGAATGCTGCACGAGCAACAGCCGTAATTAATTATAATAATAAATTAATTAAATGATCTGATTAATATTGCCTTGCTGTCATTTAAAGGAGCATAATGTTTTGAGTACAATTCTGAAGTAACAGCATTCTGTTCAGGAATAGAATTGTTAGCTATTTCGACTAAATAAGGTATGTTTAAGGTAGTTTTCTCCGTTTTCAAATAAAAAAGAATCATCAAAATCGGTTCAACCAATCAAAAGTCATGAGGTAAGAAAAATATAGTCGAATTGGGAATCTCCTCCTGTTTTTGAAGTCCGTAAAAATCAGATATTCTTTTCTTAAAGTACAGTAACTATAATAACCCAGTAAGTAGACAACTCACAGCTAGTATTTATAGAAATCCAATTGTGAAATTACAAATATTCGAACAATAGTTTCTCAATAACAGGCCGACAATTAGAAACAATTGCCATAAATATGAGCAAAGAATGCATAACTTGTTCCGGATTTAATAATATAATCAAAGTATTTTTTAAAGAATTGGAAAAATTAATTTCCAATTGACACACCATTACATTCATGATATTAATAGTTTATTTAGAACAATTGTGATTTGTTAATTTAAGAAACATGGGTTATTAAGGTTGTCTAAGACAGAGAATCTTTCCTCCTCCTTCAGGTCTGTTTTCGCTTTTGCCAACTCCGTTTATTTAAAAAATCCGAAAATTTATGAAACATGGGTTATTCAGGTTGTCTAAGAGAGAGAATCTTTCCTCCGCGTGTAAGGTGATTTCCGGCCAATAAGCATGGAGTAGTCACTTTTTCAGGTCTGTTTTCACTTTTGCGAACTGCCTATATTTCAAAAACCCGAAGTAATAACCCGAAATAAGTGTGATGATTTGATTCCGCTAGCTGTTTTTTAAAAAACCAACCTAGCATTGTTAGAGATTTTAAAAATTTATCCATGGTTCGCCTAATTTATTCGACTGCGGACAAATTTAAGGGTATATGGATGCGTCGCAGACGTTGCTAATATCTTGGCCCGTTTTTGTTGTCAATGGAGTGTCAGACTTGGGCAAAAATATATAGTACTAGTACTCGCATATGTGCTCTGGGAAGAGAGCGGGAATCTGTGCAGCTTGCTCTATTTGTCTATTTTGCATGAGGAGCGAGCAGCCAGCAGCCAGCGAAGCACCCGCAAGCACCCGCGCTCACCCATCAGCTCCTGCGCCTGCCTGCCAGCCTGCCTGACTGCCTGCCTGCCTGCCTGGTTTGTTGTCTCTCGCATTCGGGCCATCGGCCGTGCGCATTCGTTTGAGATTGCTCGGCCGTGTAGTCATAGATACGATACGGCTACGGCTCTGTCTGCCTGAATGCTATGCCTGATGGCTTGCCTGGCTGGCTGGCTCGCTGGCTGGTTGACTGGCTGGCTGGCTGGCTGGCTGCTGGAGTCCCAACCAGCATTTCAGTGTAATTTTGGCTGCGCGGCGTGTAAGTCTCTCAGCTCTGGGACTTCGGGGCACACAGCACACAACCGCATCCAAAAAATTGTCAGATACAAATTTTTGTGTGCTTCAACATCTCGTCGTTGTTATCGTCGCGGTCGACGCGCCGCGCGTTGTCATCGGTTGTGCCGTCGTCGTCGTCGTGGTCGTGGTCGTGGTCGACATCGCCAACGCCGCCGCCATTGCCATCACCCGCCACCCCCGCCCGCCACAGACCACGCATCATTGCCAGTTTCCTAGCGTTGACGCCGTTGTCTGTTCGCTTGTGTCTGTTGCTTTTTGCTCGGTCGTTTGCACAGCACATCGTTTGTTGTTGTTGTTGTTGTTGTTTTTTTTTCTATATCTTTTTATATTTCGCACAACGTCTTCGCCGCCGCGTTGCAGCAACAGCAAGTCTTTTTTTTTTTTGTTCATCATCATCATCGTCATCTAGTATATACTACATATAGCAAATATTGCTGTGTTGTGTCCACAACGTCCACCGCATTCACGTTCACGTCCAGCTCCAAGTCCAGATCCACGTCACGCGTCGCGTTTATTCATATTCGTGCGTTTGCCCCCATAGGTTAGTTGCTGCCTGCTTTTGTAGCTTTTACTTCAGCTTGATTTCGTGTATTTTTTCCCAACTGTTGTTGTCGTTGTTGTTGGCTGCTGCTGTTACTGCTGCTGCTTGCTATTTGAATATTTAAGCATAAAAGTGCGACAACGTCACGGGAGCATTTGGCAAGTCGCGACGACAGTTTGGCATCCCGGGGTCTAGCGCCCACACCTCCACCTCCACCAGCACCAGCACCACCACCACCACCATTACCTCCAATATACACCTGTCCCAGTAGCCAAGCTACGAGCTACACTTGTAGCAATCGTCCTCCTCGTCCTCCTTCCCTGCTGTGCCCAGCGCTTGTCGTCCGCTTGACTTGCTCTGCGTTCAAGACCAGTCGTTGGCGTCGTCATCGTCGTCGCCAGTTGGCGTCTCTGGCCACAGTCTTTGCTCGGTTGGTTGCCGGGCAACATTTGCAATACTGCGACACTACGATACCGAGTGCTAGCCATGTATTATACATAAGGTTACCAGCTGAACAGTGGGGGGGCACAAAAGTCAACTAGATTAAGTGTGAGAGTTGAAGTTTTTAGTTGTTTTCCCTCCTTCTCCTCCTTCTCCTCCTCCTCCTTTTTCTCTAGTCTCACTTATTGGCAATTGAAGCATCAAATTGGTTAAACCACAGAGTAAAGATTTTATTGCAGTCTATTTTTTCTCATTCATTTTCATTTCCAATTTGAAATGTATAGATTGTTCATAAAAAGTTGAGCCACATATGCTAAAAATGTGTGAATTCATTTCGTACAAATTATTGCACATTTTATTTAAAGCACATAAAGTACGTATAGGTTTGGCATTGAGGAGGAAATTCAGAATCTTAATGAGTTCAAGACATTGAAGACAACCTCAATGGTTGGAAAATATTTATAAATTTCAATTTTATTTTTATGAATTATTTAATTGTTGAACGTTTTTCACGCTGCTTTAACAGCTGATGCTCCTAATTTTTTAACAATAGACGCCTTTAAATTGTTGACAAAAATTGGGTAAGCTTTGCTAAAAAGGTTGCAATTCAATAAAAATATATTCCTATATAAGCCTTCTTTGGCATTCAAAAAATTTCTCCTTAGCACTATTTTTATACAATATTTAATTTCTGTCAAAGCATAAGTCAATACTTTAGAGTCAATTTATGATTGACAGTTTGAAAAACACATCGGTATCAGGTATCATTTGGTGCGGAAAATCATTCAGAAGCGCCCCAAATAAAATTGTTATGTTAGTTTAAAAATATTTCAAGTATTAAAATAATTTTCAAAATCTTCCGATAGAATGCGTTTCTTTGTAAAACAAAATAGTTTCTTGAAGCGTTTAAGTTTTCTTTAAATAGGCTTTAAGGGGCATATTCGATTGCATAGAAGACAAAAGACTGAATGCTATTGATATCGCAGCATGGAAAACAAATGAGAACCACATATTCAATTTCTATCAATTGCAAATCAATCTTTTTCTCTATACCTTTCTCCCTACTCTCTAAATCGCATGAACTCCAAACAGATTGCTACAACATTCGACACATATAGAGAAAGGAAATAAGAAGTGTATTTACTTCACAAGTATGAAAAAAAAATTTAAATTCTGTGCGAAACTTCAATTCGTGATTTTACGTTTGTCAGGTCTTGAAAATACTCCTTTATTTTATTGAAATCGAAAAGAATCCGACCGTACATTTGAAGCACAGCAACCGTTTCCTACCGTCGCCTTCTACAAGTACATCTAAATAAAATGTTCTTTCTAATGAACTGTCACAAATAAAGGCGACATTTATTGTGCACACACACTGTCCCAGAAAAGGATACTAATTCGGGCAAAATTTGGCAAGCTTGTCAATGAAAAAAACTTTTCTTATTACCGTATACAGTTTTAAAAGTTTTGCCCCTCAGTAAGTTAATTAAAAAAAAAAAATACAAGTAATTTTAACATTTCAGCCCCAAATGTGTCACATCGCTGGCAAATAAATGTATTTAAATACTTTGTGCTTTTAATTAAATTGTAATGTATTTGAATGCTTGGATAGCTTTTCGGTTGTGTTTTAATTAATTTTTCAAGTGTTGCCATCAAAGCTTGCGTAGCCAAATAAACCAAAAAGTGCACCCCAAAAGTATGCTGCTCCTTATTTGAAATTCAATTTTGTTTCCAATTACACTCCACGGAAAATCACTTGAGAGAAAAGTGAAACAAAATCTAAATTGAAAAGGTGAATATTAATTGTTATTCGTTTTGTTAAGTTACAGAAATCTTTAAAAAGAGTTAAAGTATGACACGAAAGCAATGATTCGCATTTAAACAACACTCATATAAATACAGTTACAAAATTCTACAAAATTCAATGATGACTTATTTCCTTAAAAAATTAAATAATACTACACAGACAGTTTCAATTAATTTGGCCCCATTTCGTGAGGCTAAATTAATCTGGAAAATATAGTTGCCAGACAAGTGAACCCCTGAATTGTTGTGATGTAAAACCACTGAAAAGATATGAGGCGCAGTATTTCTTAAATATAAGGATAATTTTAAAAATTTATCCGTTTCCTGTTTAAAGCATCTTGTCAGGGTCTCTCTGCGAAATCTGATAAAAGCTAACCTTCTCAAAAAAGTGAAGCTATCGTACAGATAAATGGGAAGAAACATATTTTTGTGTTACGACCAAAATAGTGCGATTCATTATTTCATTAACATGCAATAAATACTAGGTATTGGTTCCCTTTAGTCGTTATAACTAACTTTACTATACGTTTGTGCGACTTTAAGGATTCATTACTTTTTAAAGATGGCCCACGAAATGAATAAAATGGTTTCTATGGAGAATTTGTTTTTGTGTAGCTTTTTTGCGAGTTTCTCAGCTATCTTGAGACGTCTAACCAAATCGGTTAACATTTTTCCATGTTTTCTCTACTTCTAGCTTGATTAGTTAATACTGCTGCTTGAGATTGTCATTTGTGTTTGAGTAACTTAAGCAAGTTATTAAATTTCTTGCATTTGTAGTTTTTGGTACACAATTTACCAAAGTAATGCCATTACTTTTTAAATTCTCATATCCTTTACCCAATGCGTATCGTACTCTATTTAGGACCGAACTATAAAGTTTGTTTTCGATATTTTATTAAAAAGGAAATTTATCGTATGGAGTTAGCTCTTCATCCAGAAATTATTTAATTATTTAATGCTTACATTCAACAATAGATTAACCTGGAAATCTAATTGTATGGTTCTTTGTCAGATGTTTTACAGAAATTTGTTCACAAATTGTTTAGTGTATTCAAAAATTAATTGGCGTGCAATGCTTACATTATTTTTTATAGTGTTATGAGAAAACGCAACAGCATGTCCAAGGCGGTTGGCCTCGCATTACTTATTACAAATATTTGCGCAATGCTGCGGGAATTGTTGACAGAAATGACTGTGTGGGAGGTGTGTGTATATATGTGTGTGTGTGTGTGTATGTAGGGGGCAGTGTGTGTGTGAATGCTTGCCATTTTTTTCGAATTTGCACTCTTGCTTTGTTTCATTAAAAACAATTCGTTTTATGTCGTCGTCGTTGTTTTCGTTGGTTGTTGTTTCGGGCACTTGTATGTATTTCCATGCCATTTGATTTTTGAAGAATGTTATTCGATTTATTATGTCATAATGCTTTATGCGGCGTGGCATCATGTGATTATTTGTTTCAATATCAATTGTAATTGGTATTTGATGTGGATGTGTATGGTTGAAATGTCTGTTGCGCGTATGAAGAGCTTATGGTACGTTTATTACACTGACAAGTAGCAGATCGAAATGAGCCGTCACTTTTGATTATTAATTATGGTTTTTTTCATACGATACAGTTTTGTTTGTTCGCAGACAGATTTGCGGTTAAATACACACGATATGCAAGTATAATGACTCATCATTTTAATATACATATCATGCACGTATTGAATAAAACATATTAATAGTTAATTACATTCTCGTATATGCAGAAATGTCAGCATTTATTTGTGATATGATATTGTTGTAGGCGTTACTGTAAGTTCTTCACAACAGATTTCACAAAGTATACGAGTAGGCATATCTTTTGTCTAGTTAGTCGTTTGTCTGGCTGGAAACGTTCTGTTCTCTGAAACTACATTGTCTTAAAAGCTATACGATCTAGTGTCACTGCGCTTGCTATATAGTAGAGTAATATTTTATTTACTATTCACTCTTACTCCTTAAATGCAACACTCACTTTTAAATCTGAACTTGTAAATAGTAATTGATTAATTATTTATAAAAGTTTTCATTCTTATTTATTTTAATATTGCCAAAAAATAAATCCTTTTTGGAGCCTAACAATCAGCTCTTGGTAGATTATTTCTCTTCAGTTCCCCTAATTATACAACGCAACCTTTCACGCTGTTGGTCCTCGCTTGGACATCGTTTAAGTTGCTTCACCGACCTTCGATCAGGCTTATTTACGCACAATATTTTCCTAAGTGGTCCCTTTTATATTACCAGCAATCATCCATTTATGAAAGAGACCGAATTCATTCTGTTTGGCAAATAATTTGCAGATGGAAGTTCGACCCATTATGTTTTCTGGTACCCATCTATTGACCTTCTTTTGGGTTTTTCACAAAGTATCACATCAAGAGGTTCGATAAATGTTCAAAAAACTCTCAAGGCATAATTCTTTTTAATTCCCAACACTGTCTAACTTTTCTTTGGATAACTGTGTTATTCTATTCAATAGGTCTAGGAAAATAAATTACATATTGTGAGAAAGTTTTGAATGGCTGGATTGTTCGCCAAATTACGATACAAATCAGATTCTAATGAAAGCCCAAACCAATCAGCTTCTTATTTATTTTGCGCATGATTTAAACGTTGATTTCAAAATCACTTGTCAACTCAAATGTTTCCAATTCTGTTCCATGAATTGAACAACATGGTTTGAAATAGGGGGCGGAGTTGTAGAAGCTAATAGCGCTTATGAAGACAATGTAACGCCAATAAAAGCAACTGTAACAGGCGCTTGGTATTCGATTGCCTACGGGTTACAGGCAATCAAGAAAAAACAAGAATTTGTGGCCCAAAATACTCAACGAGATATCAAGTGTCACAAGCAATATAATTCTATAACGTATTCAATACTTGGTGGCTGGAAGTGATGTGAATTTTTGTGAGCTGCCGAAGCAATCGAGCTTTTATGCTGGTTTATTGTTCTAAGAATTTTGGCTATATCCAGTTATTATTATTGAAATAAACGTGATATTTATATGGTATAACAAAGATACAACTTTTTACTTTCGAACCGTTCTAGTGAGCAAAATGTGTTGACTCCCGAAATACTTACAGCAATTATATAAAAGCCATTGAAAGGATTTATGCAATTTTTGGAGCTGATATATTTCTAAAACCAGGTAAAAAAAAATTTTTTATTAATAAGTATTATGTATATCAACAAAAATCTTCAATTTGAATACTAGTATGTAAGGCCTGATTTATACTTTTATTGCAGAATCTTTGAACTATTTAAGTGCGTTTTCAACTTCTTCGTTTTTATTCATGAATCTAATTTTAAAACGTCTCTAATTCGCAAGTAATGAACAATTCAATACTTGAAATGAATGCGAAAAGTTATGTGATTGCAGCAGAATAAGTTGAAGCATTTTTCAGCTTAGCCGTTGACATTCATGGGAAGAAGTTGCCAAATACTTTGACAACCACTAGCCTTTGGCCGACAACACTATTACGGTTTTTGCAATGCAATGCAGTTTCTGAAAATCCTTTACTGATTTACTCCAATTGTGTGTACGAGTCAGTATCAACTTCATTGTTGTCAGTCGTAGGCAATGGAGCAACTATCGCAACTATAACAGCCAACTGGCTAAACCGATTAAACTTTGGTCAGCTTATGCACTCGGTATCTGATGACATATCAGCACACACACACACACACACACACACACACACAGAACTACACCCACACACACCTACACACTCTGTGGTTGTCTGCACAAGCATTTAGCCATCACAACCCATACTCGTACGAACACAAAGCTCCTAAGACTGTTTCCATTTCCATTTGTGACGAGTTGAAAACTGACAAAATTAATTTTCATGCTACGCTTTGACTCTGCATATTTATGGCTCTTACTTTCATTTCTTCCATTTAATTCAACGTACTACTTGTCCTCGGAAATGGCATCAATTAACTTTAAGTGCAGCCTAATTGATCATGACAAGCGCAGAATACAATAGTTACAACAAATTCTATAGGTAGTTAAGTATTTATGCTACAGTTGCCATTTGTTTAAATCTTTAGGTTCGCATCGATTACAAATTCATTGAAGGATTGAACGTAGTAATTAAATTTAGCCAACCAAGAAGTGTAAATTTGCTTACCTGGCAACTATTTGATTATTGGAATATCAATATTCAGTATTCTTTGATTCATTTAGAGTATTTCAGAAAATTAACTTTCTACAGAAATAACAATTTTCTTTGAATAAACTGATTGATATAGTGGTTTAGTTTGCTTTAGAAATGTGGACTAGAACTCTACAAGCCGAAGTCCAGGTGTTCACCAGGCGGACATGTCTAGATCGATTTCTTACGTCATGCGGATTACTGAAGGAAGGGATATCTCCAAACAGTTTTAGGAGAATTTAATATCCAGTTCGGCTTCTTGATTACCTTCTTGGGATTACCTTATATAATACCAATACAAATTTATCTTCACAAATGAATGTTAAGCGAATTCAGAAACCACCCCATACATATACATAAGCATGAAAAGAACTTGGCAATTCCAAAAAATAAAATAAACTCGTGTAGCTTAGGGACTAGGAGCAGCTATATACCAAGTTTGGTTAATGTGCGCTCAACCGTTTCCGAAATCCAGGCGTTATTCCAGCCGGACCAACAGAAGGATTTCCCTCTTCAAACTGATTCAGAATATACTTATATCCTTTATGGGGTCGGAGATGCTTCCTTCTGCCTGTTACATACTAATATACCCCACAAACCTAATATACATGGTATAAAAACTTGACTTATCTCGGTTAGAACAGAATATACAGATCCGGCTGCATTTTTCCAACAATTTCAGTAAAGGCAATATTTCAGTTAAATAATAATAAAGTAATGGCCAAAAATGAAATAAATCTTTAACTTCACTTCTATTAGGTATTATCAGGTATTGCCCGCCTTTGTTGGGCTACGTAAAATTTGCTAACAATTATATATATATTTACAACAAAGTACAACAAATACTCTGTATATACATATGTATGCAAAAAATTGTATATATGTATGAGAGTGTTCTTAAGTAACAGGTGTTTAGCTTTAGTTATAACTTATATACTACCAATACAAATTAAGCTTGACAAATGAATGTTAAACGAATTAACAGGCCAACCAAAGAAATATAAGTCAGGCTATACTATGCGACCAATCCACAGTTTATATTAAACGTCCAAAGATACAATTCAGAGCCACTATGAAATACATTGGTTATATCTGTCTGCTATTTGCGCTATTTGGCGGTGTATTAGGTGCCGATCGTAAGTAAACAAATCAGTCTATATCAGAAAAACGCTGACGTACACATATTTTTTTTAGCATGTCTCGGTTGTAGAATCCCGCCCCAAAATAACGGCAAGGATTCTTAGCGCACTCCCCACGGACAATAAACGAATTCGTTTAGTTCGTCTATAGATGCTGTCGTATAATTTATATCGATAAGCATTAATAAAATAATTTGAGCTCAAACTACGCAAATATTCTACTCCCAAATTATAGGAATTGATGTGGCCTTAATATTTATTTTTATTTTCTGTTGTTGTTGTATTGAATTCGAAAGATTAATCTGTGCGGATATGCATACTTTTATTAATTTTGCTGGACAGCTGGAAAAATTCACATCTTCAGCTTTCTTACTCTAGTTCCTTTAATCCGATCTTCGCCAGAACACTTCTATTTTAATTTCTTCCTTGGTTCACTTTATAATCGCCTATATCTCGGAGACTATAAGACCTAGGAACACCAAATTTTAGTCCAAGATGCCTTGTGTGAATACGCAGAAAATGTATATTTTGGAATTTCCCTCCTCCTCCCCCCTCTCCCCCGCAAATCGCGATTTTCTCTAACTCCCGTAATTCTTGCAATTTCGAATTTTGAAAATACCTCCAGTTAGTTATTATGTGTCCATATCCAAAGTTTCACTATGATAGACCGATTTAACAAGAAGTTATATCCATAAATATATTTGCTGCTGCAGCGCTGCTCAAGCGCTGCCCGCGGCTGTTGTTGATGTTGCTGTTTGGTTGACTGCACACATTTTTACACAGACACGAATAGATACATACATACACTCACACAGACGCAATTGCTATGTAAATGTGCAATTATAAACCCTTTACGTGAGTTCGAATACCGAGAGAGGTAAAATCGATCAAATTTTTTTTTTTTTATTTTCTATAATTATTGTAAATATATGTACAGAGTATTTCAAAGTCGGGACACCCGACTTTGGCTTTTTTACTTGTTTTCTAATATGATAGAGAGCTAGATATCTTGCTTAAAACACTATGTAATATTAAATAAGATTGCAACATTTTTTGACAGAAAACTTACTAATCATTTTACCCCAACTACGTAAAATTTTTTTGTTTCGTTCTGTTTGCGTTACTGTTTTGTGCATATAAAATGTTAAGGCTGTTGCCATTCCCCTAATTTATTATTCAATTAAAGCTGCGAAAATAAACTTTAATCGCGCCACATACATCAGCATCCAATCGCCCTGCAGACCCCAGCCAGCGCGCCTGAGCAACAATAACAACAAAGCCCCCTGAAGACTACAAATACACACGCACACACACTTAACAACACACACACACACACACATGAGTAGAGCGTGCCTTTTGCGCCTAGACCAGGCAAATATTAAAATCGTGCCCCAAGAAAATTGTTGTTCAGTTTCACACACGAAATATTTTTGCTGCCTTTTGTTTCATTTTTTATTTATGCATTCACTTTGACTATGCAATCGATTAAAAGTGCATGTCAAACTGTGCGTGCCAGGCACGCGCTGCCTACTCCCTACTGCCTCCTCCTACTCCTACTCTTACTCGCCACCAGCTATTTTTTATGGCCTGCGAAAAAAAATGAAGCATTAACAAGAGTAAAATGTTGGCAACAACACCGAAATAAAAAAGAATCTGTATTAAAAAAAAAGAGAAGGCAAGCAGTGACAAAAATTTACGAGCGCTGCTCCCTCATATTTGAAGGCATGCACAGACACACACACACACACACACACACACACACACACACACACACACACACACACACACACACACACACACACACACACATAAATACACACACACACACACACTTCAACTTTCTATACACATTGGACACATTTCGGCTCGTCATGTGCTGCTGATGCTGCGGTGGCGCCAGATACAACGCCAATCACTTCCGTAGATACACAGCATTCTTTCTTCTTCGTTTCTGCATAATTCCAGAAGTTTACTTTTCACTAAATATGTAAATCGCTCGTCTTTACGTCCGCTGGCTAATGCCATCAATTTGGAAAATAAAATAACCGCGTTTAAACAATAAAACATTATCATTTAATATGAATCATTTAGAAGGATAAAAGAGTGTGTCAACCAAATTTTAGAATGGTTTTGTTTTCCGGATGTCCACGTAGGATCATAGAAAAGCATTTAAAAAAAGATAACGTGTACGGTGGAGTAAGAAATTAAGTAAAAGTTTAAATTAATAGCGGCCCGACTGTTGACTACTCTATACCTAACCTTTTTTTTCCGCCCGGCAGCCAACGTTGTTGCTACACTTCCTACTATAACTTCAGACTATAATAGAGCATTATAAAAATCATTAAAATACCACATTTAAACTTTAAATTCTGTTTGTTTTAATATGAATGTGATTCCGAATTTGGTAACAATTAAACCCTAAATTCATTGTCATATAATTTGAACTTGTTTGTAATCATTTGATCAAAAGAGCATTACATCATTGATTCAGAGAACAATTTGGCCATCTTTAAGGGTAATACACATTGTTTTCATTGTGTCCTATAAGTGGATAAGGCTTCGATCCATTATAACACTGCCAAGTCTAATAGGCAGTCGGCAGAGTGAAAAGAACTCCATGAAGTCCTGCCGGTAAAGTTAGGTAAGGACTACCAGGAAAGTGGAAAAGGTGGACCGTTAAAATACTGTAATCAAGGATCAACGTTCCCAATTAGTTAAGAGGAATTAAAGCCACAACCACATACATATTATGCGCAAAATCGAAAGCAAATTTTCAGGAATTTGGTGATGAATTACTATCTTATCCACCGTATTTTCTAGATCTTAAATTATTAAGCTTATATTTGGAGCTG